ATCGGACAATATTTAGTGGCACTTTTTCAGTTCCCCGTCCTTTGACCTTGAATTTGACCTTGAAGGTCAAGGTTTAGGGGTGAATGGGTTCGATTTTCGTGATCCTCATGGTCCAATGACCTTGGACGAGGTTTTGGCTAAAATCGGTGCTCGTCGCTGGAAAAGTCGCTGGTGACGTAGCATTTTTAAGGTTCCCCGTCCTTTGACCTTGAATTTGACCTTGAAGTTTGACCTTGATGAAAATGGTTTTCGATGTGCGGCTAGAACTTTGCACGCGCTACATTTTGGTGCCAAAATTTTGAAAATCGGACAATATTTAGTGGAACCTTTTCAGTTCCCCGTCCTTTGACCTTGAATTTGACCTTGAAGTTTGACCTTGATGAAAATGGTTTTCGATGTGCGGCTAGAACTTTGCACGCGCTACATTTTGGTGCCAAAATTGTGAAAATCGGACAATATTTAGTGGCACTTTTTCAGTTCCCCGTCCTTTGACCTTGAATTTGACCTTGAAGTTTGACCTTGATGAAAATGGTTTTCGATGTGCGGCTAGAACTTTGCACGCGCTACATTTTGGTGCCAAAATTGTGAAAATCGGACAATATTTAGTGGCACTTTTTCAGTTCCCCGTCCTTTGACCTTGAATTTGACCTTGAAGTTTGACCTTGATGAAAATGGTTTTCGATGTGCGGCTAGAACTTTGCACGCGCTACATTTTGGTGCCAAAATTGTGAAAATCGGACAATATTTGGTGGCACTTTTTCAGTTCCCCGTCCTTTGACCTTGAATTTGACCTTGAAGTTTGACCTTGATGAAAATGGTTTTCGATGTGCGGCTAGAACTTTGCACGCGCTACATTTTGGTGCCAAAATTTTGAAAATCGGACAATATTTAGTGGCACTTTTTCACTTCCCCGTCCTTTGACCTTGAATTTGACCTTGAAGTTTGACCTTGATGAAAATGGTTTTCGATGTGCGGCTAGAACTTTGCACGCGCTACATTTTGGTGCCAAAATTGTGAAAATCGGACAATATTTAGTGGCACTTTTTCAGTTCCCCGTCCTTTGACCTTGAATTTGACCTTGAAGTTTGACCTTGATGAAAATGGTTTTCGATGTGCGGCTAGAACTTTGCACGCGCTACATTTTGGTGCCAAAATTGTGAAAATCGGACAATATTTAGTGGCACTTTTTCAGTTCCCCGTCCTTTGACCTTGAATTTGACCTTGAAGTTTGACCTTGATGAAAATGGTTTTCGATGTGCGGCTAAAACTTTGCACGCGCTACATTTTGGTGCCAAAATTGTGAAAATCGGACAATATTTGGTGGCACTTTTTCAGTTCCCCGTCCTTTGACCTTGAATTTGACCTTGAAGATTACCTTGATGAAAATGGTTTTCGATGTGCGGCTAGAACTTTGCACGCGCTACATTTTGGTGCCAAAATTTTGAAAATCGGACAATATTTAGTGGCACTTTTTCAGTTCCCCGTCCTTTGACCTTGAATTTGACCTTGAAGTTTGACCTTGATGAAGATGGTTTTCGATGTGCGGCTAGAACTTTGCACGCGCTACATTTTGGTGCCAAAATTGTGAAAATCGGACAATATTTAGTGGCACTTTTTCAGTTCCCCGTCCTTTGACCTTGAATTTGACCTTGAAGTTTGACCTTGATGAAAATGGTTTTCGATGTGCGGCTAGAACTTTGCACGCGCTACATTTTGGTGCCAAAATTGTGAAAATCGGACAATATTTGGTGGCACTTTTTCAGTTCCCCGTCCTTTGACCTTGAATTTGACCTTGAAGTTTGACCTTGATGAAAATGGTTTTCGATGTGCGGCTAGAACTTTGCATGCGCTACATTTTGGTGCCAAAATTTTGAAAATCGGACAATATTTAGTGGCACTTTTTCACTTCCCCGTCCTTTGACCTTGAATTTGACCTTGAAGTTTGACCTTGATGAAAATGGTTTTCGATGTGCGGCTAGAACTTTGCACGCGCTACATTTTGGTGCCAAAATTGTGAAAATCGGACAATATTTAGTGGCACTTTTTCAGTTCCCCGTCCTTTGACCTTGAATTTGACCTTGAAGTTTGACCTTGATGAAAATGGTTTTCGATGTGCGGCTAGAACTTTGCACGCGCTACATTTTGGTGCCAAAATTGTGAAAATCGGACAATATTTAGTGGCACTTTTTCAGTTCCCCGTCCTTTGACCTTGAATTTGACCTTGAAGGTCAAGGTTTAGGGGTGAATGGGTTCGATTTTCGTGATCCTCATGGTCCAATTGACCTTGGACGAGGTTTTGGCTAAAATCGGTGCTCGTCGCTGGAAAAGTCGCTGGTGACGTAGCATTTTTAAGGTTCCCCGTCCTTTGACCTTGAATTTGACCTTGAAGTTTGACCTTGATGAAAATGGTTTTCGATGTGCGGCTAGAACTTTGCACGCGCTACATTTTGGTGCCAAAATTGTGAAAATCGGACAATATTTAGTGGCACTTTTTCACTTCCCCGTCCTTTGACCTTGAATTTGACCTTGAAGTTTGACCTTGATGAAAATGGTTTTCGATGTGCGGCTAGAACTTTGCACGCGCTACATTTTGGTGCCAAAATTGTGAAAATCGGACAATATTTAGTGGCACTTTTTCAGTTCCCCGTCCTTTGACCTTGAATTTGACCTTGAAGTTTGACCTTGATGAAAATGGTTTTCGATGTGCGGCTAGAACTTTGCACGCGCTACATTTTGGTGCCAAAATTGTGAAAATCGGACAATATTTAGTGGCACTTTTTCAGTTCCCCGTCCTTTGACCTTGAATTTGACCTTGAAGTTTGACCTTGATGAAAATGGTTTTCGATGTTCGGCTAGAACTTTGCACGCGCTACATTTTGGTGCCAAAATTGTGAAAATCGGACAATATTTGGTGGCACTTTTTCAGTTCCCCGTCCTTTGACCTTGAATTTGACCTTGAAGTTTGACCTTGATGAAAATGGTTTTCGATGTGCGGCTAGAACTTCGCACGCGCTACATTTTGGTGCCAAAATTTTGAAAATCGGACAATATTTAGTGGCACTTTTTCAGTTCCCCGTCCTTTGACCTTGAATTTGACCTTGAAGTTTGACCTTGATGAAAATGGTTTTCGATGTGCGGCTAGAACTTTGCACGCGCTACATTTTGGTGCTAAAGTTTTGAAAATCGGACAATATTTAGTGGCACTTTTTCAGTTCCCCGTCCTTTGACCTTGAATTTGACCTTGAAGTTTGACCTTGATGAAAATGGTTTTCGATGTGCGGCTAGAACTTTGCACGCGCTACATTTTGGTGCCAAAATTTTGAAAATCGGACAATATTTAGTGGCACTTTTTCAGTTCCCTGTCCTTTGACCTTGAATTTGACCTTGAAGGTCAAGGTTTAGGGGTGAATGGGTTCGATTTTCGTGATCCTCATGGTCCAATTGACCTTGGACGAGGTTTTGGCTAAAATCGGTGCTCGTCGCTGGAAAAGTCGCTGGCGACGTCGCCAACTTCACGGACATATTACCTAGGTAGCTATTTAAGTGCAAGAGGCCTCTGGACTGTGCAGGCGACGGTGCAGTTAAACATAGCCCGCCGCGAGTAATCCACCGAGAGCTGACACAGTGCAGGGTGGTGGCTGTTGCCACCCATCGCTCCAACGAAACCCTACGGCCGGCAACGAGGTCGGGAGGTCACACGGCGTCACGTGACACAAACTGGAGCTTTGGGGACCTGGGCTAACTGGTTATTTCTGAGGTCAGACTGGTAAATGGAGTTAGAATAATGCCTTTTTACTTGGCTTACATGCATACTGTGTCCACTGATCAGCCTCTGAATCTGTGACTGTCCCTCCTCAGAGGTCTCGCGCAGTGCGGGATCATTTGTATCGCAGACAGGTCGTTTGGGCGAGGCGCCAGGCAGGGAGTGGGCGGCCTGTCCGACCAACAGGGAATGGGGCGTTACTTGCACCGCTGGCGCTTATATATGCAGTTAGAACGCGAGCTAGTGTAAATGGGATAGCCAGTAAGCCGCCTAGCTTGCCAACAACAAACTGAATATATCATATCTGTCCCGTCAAAGGAAATGCGCCAGAATTATAGCTAGGAGCTCGTTTCCAACAAAAATAAGCAATAAGAAATAAACGTCGTTAACATATGCCAAGCACGGCGTACGCGTATCAGGCACATTCACGAGTAGCTGATATCTTAATACGCAAAAACGACTAAAAGTACGATGAAGTCGTCTTTTTTTTGCCAATGATCAGACAGACATTGTACTCCATTAACTCACCCACACCGTCTTTAACAGACTGAGCATAAGTTAGGCTCACTAACAAAACCGATCATTTCATTATTTCCGCCGATACGGGCTCGGTTCTGTGTATCGGTGCGGTGCCCGACGGCCGGCGACCGGCCGGTCAGCCCCGCTGTCGACGACCGGACACAAAGTTGGCCGATATACGGTGGCGCTCGACGGCGCACACCGCCAGAGTTGGACGACTTTTCGGCCGCCGCTGACTGGGCGGCCGCCGGATAAAATGTGATTTACTCCCGTGCGCGTATTGGAAGCGAAACCGGTCGGAAGCGAGCTGCGAGTTACGGGATAGGATGTGGAAACGCAAACGGAGGACAGGCCAGTCAACCGCAGCTGGCGGGCAATAAAAGGGACCTAGTGATGAACAGAGGCACTATTTCACCATGGATGGCCCGTATCTGACTGTACGTGTCTGACTTTGACGTTGACCTTAAAAAGTTCCTAATATTGTGGAAATCATATGACATGTGCATTTGGAAAATAATCAGACGATATGAAACAGATCCAGTGCTCAAGTAAAACACGCGGCCTGCATTGAGGGCTGAAGTATGTATCAGGTCATCAGCCAGTAAATGAAAAACTGATGGATAGTACCTACAAGCATCCTCCTATATGCATATAATATGCGATATATATTATATAGTCCCCGACAAAAGAGCATTCTATGTACATGACTCCGACTCACCTATGGTTGCCATGGTAACACCGAGTCCGATGAGCGTTATGCCAAGCGTCATAATTCGACAGGCGTTCCAGAGACAGGAAGCGTTGATCTGGCCGCGCATGGCGTGGATCTCATGGTGCCGAGACCAGATGTCCACCTCACGGAACCCCAGCATCTTCCTCCGCGACTGCCGACGGGGGGAGGGGGGGGGGGAGGCAGGTGAGTGTCCGCCACAGGGCCGGGCCGACCAGCCAGGCGCGTGATGGCATTAGTTTCTCATTATTGTACGCCTAGCGACGGACACCGCGGCAGCAGCGCGCTATCTTCTTTTTCCTCTCCCTTCTCTCTCTCTCTCTCTCCTCTCTCTCTCTCTCTCTCTCTCTCTCTCTCTCTCTCTCTCTCTCTCTCTCTCTCTCTCTCTCTATCTATCTATCTATATATCTATCTATCTATCTATCTATCTCTCTCCCTATCTCTCACTCTTCCTCCTTTTTCGATCCCCCGCTCATTCTTTATTGCATCTTTTTTTGCTCTCACGCTCTCTCTCCCCTTTTCCCCTATTCTTACCATTTTTTATTTCATTTCTTTGTCTCGATGAGTACATTCTCTCTCCTCCCCTTCCCAAATGTTCTTCAATTCCTGTTTCCTCCATCTCCTTCCTCTCAAGCTCCTTATCAATCTGCCAGGTCTATCAAGCCGTCATCGTCCTCTATGTATCTCCTATAGCTATCGTGGTTGTGAGATGCGCTTTTTTTGCCCTGCAGCCACATCTATAGTGACTGTGATAATCGTTTGGCTAAGGCCACTACAACTAATTATGTAATTGCATCAAATCTTCCTCAAAAAGCACTTCAGCCGTTGGTATGCTTCTGTGTGTTTGTGAGCCTACATAATCGTACTTCGCGCAGGGAATAAAGCTTTTGAACACACTTCAAACTCCCTAAGTGGCCCGTTAATGATTTGAAACCAATTAAATCACTCCCGTTACACAAAAGTCTGTCATTCCTCAGCGCCTCACGCACCATGCATTTATCGTGCAAACAAGCCAACGAACATGCCAAGCGCATCGTGACAGAGCCTGAGGTCACTCGAAACGGGTGGTTTTAGTCTGTTTATATTTTGCTCGGGAAACTAAGCCCCCTGAAATGGATCTTTCAGCCAGAAATCTGAACGGGAGCCTACGACACCCCACCGGCAGGCGGGCACCAATCCAGGGAAAATCCACCCGGCTGCCTCCTAAGCAGGTTAGCAGGTGTCCAAGCCACCCTGATAACATTCATTAGGACATCAATACGGGCATTAGCGCCGCTGGAGGCAGTCGCCGGCTGAGGTGCAGGAGCGCTCCCGGAGAACGGGTGCGTGCGAGTGAGACTGCGAACTGTCATCACTGCTCTGTCTTTCATCGGCGGGATAAACAAACCTCAAAACAGAAAATAGTGTTTGTATTAGTGGGAATCTCAGTATGCAGCTGCACAGCAGTAATAATTTACACTAACATCCCGAGATCGATATCAATCTGTCTGTCGAGCTCCACTCCCCAATAACGTGATAAGCAGCGACCGTATAAAAACACGCGTGGCAACAATAAATAACAGACTAGCCTGAAATAAGCTTGTGCTGCCTTGCGGCAAATTGTGGTGTTCTTTGGCTGAAGTTTGCTCCGGTAATACGGTACAGGTGTCCCGAGATCTTGACGTTAACTATTTATTTCCACACAGACCCTGTCAACATGGCGTCAGTAGGCGGTTCCCGGCCGGCGCGGTGTTTGCTCTTCGGCGACATGGCTCCGGGGCTCCGGACCGAGTCGCCACCGCCGTGGCGGGGCTGACGGGCCAACGCCGAGGCTGCCGGCTGTACTGGGTTCGAGCCTAAATTAATTCAGCGACGAGAACGCTAAGAAATGAATTCATTGCAATGGAATTCCACTGAAGGAATCCCTGATTACTGACGCCGCGTTTTACTTCTCACATGCGTTACTGATATATATATATATATATATATATATATATATATATATATATATATATATATATATATATATATATATATATATATATATATATATATATATATATATATATATATATATATATATATATATATATATATATATATATATATATATATATATATATCTCTCTCTCTCTTTCTTTCTCTCTCTCTCCCTCTCTCTCCCTCTCTCGCTCTCTCTCTCTCTCCCTCTCTCTCTTTCTTTCTCTCTCTCTCTCTCTCTCTCTCTCTCTCTCTCTCTCTCTCTCTCTCTCTCTCTCTCTCTCTCTCTCTCTCTCTCTCTCTTTCTCTCACCACTCAATCTTTTTGTCATAGCTACTTCGTCTCACATTCAAAAATATATTTTATCTGCCCAGCCCAAACAGGCCCTAAACTGACCGGCTGCGCAAGTGGAACTCTTGTTCACGGTCAACTCGCCATCAAACACGGTGTACCCTAGCTAATGCATCATATGCACGGTCCCCGTGGCCAGTGTCGTGAATTATGAATCTGTCATCGGGTGCCGGACGCGGAAAGAGCGAGCCTTCTTTCCAATATGGTCGAGAACAGCTTAACGATTAGGTACACATGCCACATACCTAAACGAAGAATGAAGCATTTTAGATGTTTGCAGTTAAGAGTTTTAAAACACCGTATACCCTGTTATATAAAGAATTGGGGCATCCTCCAGCAGTAGGTACTAGAGAAATGGCCAAAGCTTAACTACCTTTTTATGATCTCCAGAAACTTTTTAAAAGTTGCACACGGTACTCTATGAATATGCTAATGACTTACATAAGCTTCTTCACAGCGTCAATAATAGATGAAATTAGGAATGAACCACTCTAAAGTGAGTTAGTGGCCTCAGAGATTTAATATCGGGATAATAAGGAGCCGAGTTTCCACTATATTGTAAATTCGCAGCAGCTGACCTCCTCGCATTCTGACCGAGACAAATATAGGCAGGCACGTAGCCAGCAGTTTGCTCAGGGAGGGGCCACAGGTCGCGCCTAGTGTTGTACACCCTCTAAAAAAGGAAAACTCCTCGGCTTTGACCCACTATTTTTGGGTGTGTGGTGCAGCTGTTATTTTTATTTTATTAAATTTCATTCTATTTTTCGTCATCAGGGGGGGGGCATGGCCCCCGTGCTCCCCCCCCCCCGGCTACATCCCTGAATATAGGAAGGAAGGGGTCGTGGCCTCAGCAATAGCTGTTCCTATAGATTTCTGAATTATCACAAAGATCCATATCCAGGGCGGGGCTCTCAATGCCATTGGTTTTCGTTCATCAATTCGGATCACTTAGGAAATGTGATAATGTGAAACGGAACATTGTTTCCTTAATCCTTAATTATCAGAGGTGGGGAAGGGGATCAAAGCGACTTATTTTTATACGGACAGAGGTGGATTGCACATCTGAACCCATCTACGAAAAGCTTTCAATTATCTGTCGAAATTTTTGTTTTGCTCATTATCCAGCTAATGGCGGCGCAAAAGAACGACTTCTACAGTCTACTTACTAATTCATTCAGCCTATCTCATCAAAGTGCTTTCGGACACGCATAGTAATTTATTCTCCTTTTGCGTAGACACTTGATGTTTAAAGCTCAAGCAATGGATGTGCTTTTCTCCAGTGTGCAAGCGCTGCATACAAATGAGCATTAAAAGGAGAACGCTGCAGGGATGCAGAGAGGCCAAATGCTTGGTCAGCTTTCACTTATATACGAATATTTCTGATGTGGAATCTGCTGCCACGAGTCTGTGATAGGATAGCCATATTCTTACATCCCCGAGAGTTCCTGATGAACCTCAGATAGATTTTAATTATTCCTCCAGTATCGGTTAATCAGACCCGGCTGACTATAAGCTCAGTCCGTGCAGCGTTCGGGACGGGACATTTCCTCGCGGCCTTTAATCACGCGCGCGACCCTGGCCGAATGCTGGCACGAACGGGACTGTAGTCGACACGCCATCACTGCAGAAAGTCCAAGGAGCAGGGCACACAACAGACCAGGAACAACAGTCCAAAACAGACCACAGTACGACAAATCAAAGCAGACCGCAGAACAACAGAACAAAATAGACCACAGTACGAAAAATCAAACCAGACCGGACCGCAGAACAACAGTCCAAAACAGACCACAGTACGACAAACCAAACCGGACTGCAGAATAACAGAACAAAATAGACCACAGAACTACCAGACTCAACAAAACAGAAATAAGCGACCAAAACAGACCAGAGAGAGATAGTTCAGAACAGACCACAAAGTACAGCCTTAATAGATCACGGAACGACACACCACAACAAATCGAACGAATAACTCCATCGCACGCTGTCTCTCAAATCCAATTTTCGACGACGAAAAATATGGTTTGTAAAAATGAAAAAATCATTGAACCACGGACGGTTCGTATCGGCTTACTAGGGTAAGCTGAAAGCTGGAGACTTGAGTGGGTGTGCTGAGTGGACGGAAAAAACGAGCCACATGACCATTCGCCGCTGCTATGCAATGACTATACAGTGCGGTTGTAAAATTGTTATCCATTTTAAAATTAAAAGGCTAATAAAGTTAGGTGAGACTTACTTATTAATTCAATAACTAGCATTTATGCTGAAATAATTTTCCTAGTATAGCTTGTTTGATGGTGTCAACGAAGGATACACGGAGCCAAAGAGGACAAGCACATCAACATTCAACAATGTCTCTTTTTCTGGGCAGGATTTATGCTAATCTGTTCGACAGCACTTCTCGGCATGTAGATGGCCCAGCTAAATCTGCATAATTCCCGTATTTGCCGCCGTCTCACCTGGGTTGTTAATGCAGCAGCTAGCAGTTGTCTTTCAATTCCGGAGTGACAGAAGTCCGCCCTGCTCCGCGAAGTCAATCGTCAAGCTTCCACCACTGACAAGAAACCACTAAATGCACTTGGCTTATTCGCCCACACCGCTAATCAATCACACATCATCTTTGTCAGACAGCCACTCAACTGCCATACAACACAATCCGTCTTCCTGATAAGTTGATAAGGAATGGGTGTGATATTATCAAACCCTTCTTGCACGGTTTGTCACAGACGATATCGCCAGTCACCATCACTCGCTCATTTTAGTAGCGAGCCGTCCTTGAGACCTCAGGGCCAGTAATATTCAAACACCACCGCCTCCTCTGCTGCCTCCAGTTCCGCTGCCGTCCGCCAGGCCGGCTCACCGGCCGTCTCCCGTCTCCGAGACACCTCTCTCCGTCTCCCGCCCGTCTCCGTCTCCGCCCGACCGCCGCCAGTCCCTCTCAGTCTCCCGTGCCATCGCCGCCCTGCCCCGGGTCTGAGCGGCCGCCGCTGCCGGCCGCCCGCCGCCGCCGGCACAACTGTTGCGTCGCGCGCGACGTCGCTCTGAGATCGACGGACCGCCGTCGGAGGCGACGTGGCGGAGCCCGATCGACTTCAGCACGTGCAGCGGACAGTGATGGTCCTGCGGGCGGTGGACCGAGGACGAGATCGACCAAGGCCCTATATACGAGATCGACGGATGGGGACCCGGCTAGGTATGCTGCGCCGCCGAGCGTCGGTGAACGGCGGCACAGTCTAACACCCGACGCCTGAGTGTTCACGGGCGGAAAACATTAGCGCCTCGTGGAGCCAGCCGTGCGATATGAATAACTAGCTATGAAATAATCGCTCTTCATGGCCGCCTAACCAAATTATTTGTTTTAGGCTCCATAGGAAAGCTACATTTAGCGTCACATTTATTTTCCATGTTTCGCAGCCCTTCATGAAATAAAATAAAACTAGCTCGAATGCGTCGCGTCACCGTTCTTTCAAATCCAGTCTTCTATTCTATTCAATTTCACAGAGAACGTCTGGCCGCCAATTATATAAGAAATACGGTAAGCATTGCTTACGCAACGACCCGAAGCACTGCCTGTGATAAAATAGTCGGTCGGCCCGTAATAGCAGTGCCATCCCCGGCCTGGCGACTGAAGCATTCAGAGGACCGCCAGTCGCCACAATAGCGTTCATATGGCGCCCCAGGCAATGGCTCTCAGAGTGAATGTGGTTTCCGGGGCCCCGACAGCTCTAAAGGTATCCCGGCGCTAAATAGAGGAACTGCACTCTCGGGAAAATGTACAAAATCAATCACTGATTACCTACCAACTTATGAGTCGCAACAAAAATATTTCCGAAATGAACTACTAAATAAGCGTCAGACATTTTTTAGTCATCGTGCAGGTGGGCCACCCTGTACAAGATTCGCTGTATTTTATAAAAACTAACGATTGCGTCTGTAACGACGCCCACTCTTTTCTCGTAGGGCTCTAGCTCAATATGGGGTGAGCACTGAGCCGAGATAGGAGTACCTCCATCCCCTCTGCCGGTATATCGAAACCGGAAAAGGAAAACCCATAGGTCCGACGAGGGTTGTTAAATGGTGCAATTTACAGCATGCACAGTTAATCCGATACAGATTCTTTTGTTTAAAGTCCCCATGCCTCGGCTCACCTCACGTCAGAGGAAGTCGCGTCGGGCGTCAGCGGTGTGTCCCAAGTGTGTCGGTTGGTTGGGCACCCGGTTCCGCCGGACACAATAGGTATAGTATAACTCCACCGGCGACGGGACCATCACCGGCTATCCCCAGCCCCCGATACAGGCCAGGGGTCATTAGCAAGGCTTAGTGTAATTAATTTTCCCGTGCGACTCCAGACGGGATACTTAGTGGTCTGCACGGTTGGTTCATGGTTGGATAAAGTATATGCGACTAGTTGAAGGCAGTGAGCGGGACGGACCGGCGTGTCCGGCTTAGATGGGCCGCAAACAAAACTGATACATTGAATTCCAGTCTCCCAAATCCCAGGATCGCCCGATCGGACAGCCGTGGTCGGTGGTCGGGACTTGTAAGCGTCCCGTGGGCTCTTTATTCCACAATCAAGGGATCGCGTGCCGTTGGCGACGTGACACTTTACGCGGACCGATATTGGAAAATACGCTGTTACTTGTTAGTTGTTAGAAAGGGGAAGTTGGCTAACACTATGCCGATTATGCCTGTACTCAGTCTTTCTTGGGTTTTACCATCTTCGACCAAATTTTTGTTGTAATAAATAATAAATAAAAACACTTTCGCTTATATTTTGTCTTATTTCAGGGCTAAAATTACGCTAAAAGCTGCCAAACTAACTACTAAATAAATGTTGAATGTTCATCTTCGTGGGTACGCCAGGCTTACCCAAGGTTACCTACTTTACTACGCTTACCTACTAATGCCGAATTAGTGGTCTAGGACCGAATAGATTAGTCTTAACCCTCGCCGGCCGAGGGGGGGGGCGGGTGCCGCCCCCCCCCATAGGGTTTTTTTCGCGATAGCTCCGAACACGCTGGCGATAGAGAGCTGAAACTTGGCATACTTGACCTTTGATCCAAGCCGCATCTTTTGACACCAACCGCATTTTGGGTCAGATCAGGTCACTGACCTATGACGTCATAAGTGAACCTCTGCACGGTCTTCAGATGTCGCAACTTCGCAACGCCCTCACTGCCAGAGGAGATGTCACAGGGAAATGAAACTTGCAGGACCTAGTATCCATTATGAGTCTCACAACTTGTATATCTCGGATTTTTCCTAAAGGTCATATGAGGTCAGGTCATTTTCGTGACCTCACCATTAGGGGAGAGTGGGGAAAGATGCCCAGGGTTTTGCTATGTCACATATTATTCGAAAATGACGATGGGAAAGCAAAAACTTGGAGTTTCAACGGAAGCCGACATCATTTTTCTCCAAAAATATCACACTTTCTTGCCTGAAATATTATAACTTTTTTTGCTATTAAGCATTTTCCTGAAGAAGTGAAAGGGGGTATCTTACCCCACAGGGTGGGAAAGACGCCCCCTGACGTTGGGAAAGATGCCCCCTGCAATATAAGTGACATAAATGGGCACGTGAATCGCCTGGACGAATCAGTAGTCCCTTCGAGCCTGCAGTAGACACCAAACGTCATCATAAGGGCCCTCAAAAGTAGTCGTAAGGGGCTTGAGAGGTCATTGTTAGGGCCATCATAGTCCAGCGCGGCCAAACAAGCCTCTGTGGTGGCGTTCGGAGACCACTGTGGGGCTGTTAAAGGTCTTCATGATGCTTGAGGGCCCTCGAGCCCATCGTGGGGACCTCCGATGCCAGCGCGGCCCGTGGGGCCAACGTGGGAGCCCTCAAAGGATGTCGTGAGGGACCCTGGAGCCAATAATGGGGCCCACAGAGGCCGTCGTGAGGGCTCTCAGAGTCAGATGCCGCCCAAAAAGTCGCTATGTGGGCCGAGAGACAGGCATGGGGAGCACCCGACCGTACTGGACTCTCAATAGTCCCAGATCGGCTCTTGTCTACATCACAAGTATGTAATAAATGATTTGACGGGCTGTTTGAAGGACAGCCTACGGATTTAGGGGGGGGGGGCGTCTTTCCCCATCAGGGCAGGGGGCATCTTACCCCAAGGTACCGAATTAACATTAAATCAGTACAATTTGTTAGCCATAAAACTAAACCCTGAAACAAACTGTTTGGGACACAGTACATGCATGCTAATGTATCACTACTATAGCAAGGGACGCAATAATTATTTACCTTCTTTGATATTTACAATGTTCTGACACCAAAATATTTTTTGAAAGCAGCAAATAAAAAACATGCAATCATCAGCCAGCCGTTGCCCAACTGAGCTTCGCGATTTTTTGTGCAGTTAACAAGGCAGGCCTCCGCTTTACGCTAAGAACATTAATTTCCAGGTCCGATTCTTTGTTTCGCCGCTAGAGGGGGTGGGGCGTCTTTCCCACCCTGGGCATCTTACCCCACTCTCCCCTATAAGTCAATGGGGAAAAATTCAAACTGCTATTCTGGCGCCGGGAACGATCTCCAACTATCTCAAGCACACAGAATCGTGATTTGATGCACTCCTTGCAAGGTTAGATGCGTCACTTTTGCAATGTTGACCTTCCGTGACGTCATTTATGACGTCATCAAGGTCATATTAGTTTTTCGTCAATAACTCCCGATCAAATTGAGGTAGCGAGTCGGAAAAGCCACCAATGGACTCAGGAAACCTGCCGAATCGAATGATATGCGACATGACCTCTTTCGACCAACTTCGTGACCTGGGGGTGCTGACCTGACCTTGACCTGAGGTCAACACCCTAAGTTGACCTGACCCGAACAAAAAGTATATCATTCGACGCGCCTGAGCAAGGCGAACACGATGCTGCCAAAATCGCGGCTCTGCGGCCATTTTTTGCGAAGTTATTCACCAAAAACTGAACTGTACCCTGGGGCACTTGACCTGACCTCAGAGGTCAGCGGTTGACCTAGGACCTTAAAATCGGGTACCAATCTCTGCGTCTCGTAACGGCGCACACGCTCGTTTTTTTCCGCGACGCGCTAGCTCCACCAGGGGCGAAACGGCGAGGGGGGGGGGTCGTACCCGCCCCCCCCCTCGGCCGGCGCGTATGTAGAAAACCAATAGGTCCGGCGAGGGTTAAGTCTAGGACGGTGAATGCTTGATTGTATGTTGCATGCAATCAGGGGTGGAGATCTGTCAAAATGTCAGGGGGGGTCCAGGCCGGGCAGATGGAGGCGGACTAGATGCAGTACCATTGACTTACATAGCAGTAATTCGTTTTCAGGGGGGTCCTGACCGTCCTGACCCCCCGATCCCCCCCCCCCCCCCAAGATCTCCACCTCTGATGGCAGTTGCAAATGTAAAGCTGCTTCCTAAATCACGAACACCGCGCTTTAGCACACAAGATTCCTTTACTACGGTAGCACTAACAGAAATCTGGTAGCACAAAATCGCTACATCCATGGCCCACATGAGTCATCTGTGGCGCGAAGAAGTCGCCACACGTGCTTTCTGCTTTGAAGGCTTTGAAGTTTGAAATGTGGCCTTCTGTGGTGTGTGTGTTTAAAGCAATTTAACTTCAAATTGTTATTTGTTTTAGATCATCGATCGTGATAAAGGTATGCTGAAATTTTGGACACATCAACAAAGTACATTTTGACGTACAGTCGAAAGCACAATGTGCAAAGTCCAACGTACAAAGTGCAGTCCAATCATTAATTCACGCACAAACATGAGGCATCTCATGTTCTTTATTTTTTGGCGAATTATTGTGCTCTAAAACTTATCTCTGCATTCTCTGGTTTGGTATGGCTTAAATGGGATGAGATATCCAGGATATTTTAAGCCTTCACCAATTAATATAATTTGATGACGGAATACTTCATCAGTTTGGAGAGTAAACTGTACATTTTTTGAGTTGTGTGCTTTAATGTTGACTGCCAATTGGCTTTGAGCTAGTTAAGATATGGGTGTGGTATTAAGATAGTTAAGATCTGTATGTGCCTGCATGTAAGTGTAAATATTGATATGAACCTGGTGATCATGCTGATTTACGTACCTGCAATAATCCTCGCATGTTTGAAACTTCATCTTGGAATCATCAACTATACAACACCAACAGGTCACTGGTCATTTTATGCCTTTGATTGCTGTCAAAGACTCAAAGGCATCAAATGTGAATTAGTGGATCTCTCAAACTTTGTCGGAACCCATTCAAACCACTTTTCCTGTAAAAATCCACTTATTTCACACCAAGCTCAAAACCCTCAGTTGTAATGGGCTGTAGGCAAACCGTGGTACCTACATCTGAAAAGCTTTGTATTCATTCCAAATTCCAATTCTCACAATTAAAATTCATTTTCATCTATGTATCAATAATACTTTTTTAGCTTTATCTAAGTGTAATGCAAATTGCATTACAAGGTAATATAAAAAGTAATATAAACAACACAAGCCTCATGTTTTAAAATAATTATAGAAGAAATGATATGCAGAATTCAGAAATAAATTTGTCGGTCCCGTAGCTCAATCGGTAGAGCGTTTGACTCTGCAGCACGCGTTCTCGGTTAAAACGGTCCGGGTTCGAAGCGCGACGGGCGCTTGACGTTCATGGGCCTCGCGACAGGTATGGTTGCGGTTGGTGACAGGCTGTAGCCAGGCGAAGTCAGTGAGGGGGACCGGCCGTGCGCGGCTATGTGCGCACGTTAAACTTTGGACTCTAAATTTTGCCATAGAATTGAAATTGCGGGATTGGAGGGTAGAGGGCAGGTTCACCCGCAACAAGCTTCGGTTAGCGTGGGCTCTTTCCTTGTGAATTCTTCCAATCAAAAGGTTCAATCGACAGTCAGACTAAATTTATGTAATGAGAAATAAAAAAGCACGCCTATGATTTTCATTGATAATTGGTTATCATCATGACACATGTTTTTGGTGTTTATTTTCAGGCTCAGTATCTCCAGTAGCTGCGGGATGCCGTCTCCGAGCAGCAAGCAGCGGCGCCAGGAGACGTGCGCCGGCGGTCTGCTGGAGCACGCGCTGCTGGAGGTGCGGCCGCGGCTGCGCAGCGCCTACTGCTTCCTGCGGCTCTCCGTGGACACGGAGGACCCCACGTTCCGCGTGCTGTCGGTGCAGACGCGCGGCGACCGCGGCGGCCTGGAGCTGACACTCGAGTACCGCGGCCGCGTCTACACGGAGCCGGTGCAGGCCACCTGCCGGCTGGCGGCGCTCAGCGGCGGCGTGGCGCCCGCCGGACGGTACGCCACGCTGCGCGCCACGCTCGAGCCCGACCAGCGGTGTGGCAGCGCGGCCGCCGAGGTGCTGACGCCGGCCGCCGAGCCGCCGGCGCCGCCGCCCCTCTGGCGGCCCGTGGTGCCCGCCCGGTACCGCGCCGTGTGCCGGCAGTGCGGCGCCACCGCCGTGGACACGCGGTTCCGGCGCGCGCTACCGCTCCCCTCAGAGAACTGGCGCGAGATGCTCGGTAACGTGTTCTGCCACGGTGACGGGGCGGACCGCGACATGCACGAGCGGGTGCGCGCGCGGCCCGGCGACTGTTTCTACGCGGCCTCTCACGTGGTGCTGTCGGCGGAGGAGGTGCGCTGCGCGGCGGCCGACAGCCGGCTGAGCTGCTCCGAGTGCACCGCGCCGCTGGGCGAGAAGGTGGAGTTCGGCTCGCGGCTCTGGCACCACCGGCTCACCTGGAGCTGCGGTGGGGAGGAGGAGCTGCGGCTGGGCCCGGACCAGGTGCTGCGCCGACTGCTCGTACACGGCGCCGCCTCGTGCGACGCGCCGGCCGCCCGCCTGCTTGCCTCGGCGCCCCGGCACGACGATATACTGCTGTGGCTGATCGACACGAGCCTGACGGTGCACCTGATCAGCCCCGGAAAAGACGGCGATGGTGGCGTCACCTGTAACGGCGACAGTGGCGCCTCTAGTGACAGTACCGGTAACAACACCAGCACGGCATCTGCTGGTGGCGATAGCACCCGTGGTGTAAATGGTGTCAACGTCAGCAGCACTAACAGTGAGAACGTTACTCACACGAATGGTCTCAGTGCCGGTAACTCTGCTGAGCCGCCGTCCCCGGGCCGCGCGCGGACGGCGGTGAAGGTCCTCTACAGGAGCTGTGACGAGGAGGAGGCCCGCCAGCACCGCGCCGACCTGGCCGTCCAGAGTCTGGAGCTGGACGAGGTGCTGATGGTCACCCTGCGCGCGGAGCTGGAGCGCTCCCAGCGCTGGTACCCCGAGCCGCAGCGCACCCAGGGACAGGACCGCGTCGGCCTCATCGTACTGTGATGTTTTCTCAGCATGATTCGCTCTTCTAGTGAATCAAGACAGGGGGAGGGGCTGATCACGCGATTTCGAGGCCTTTGAAATCGGTGCTTTTCGGCATTCTGTTTTTATGCTGCCATGTATTGTATGCGGTATTGATACTAATGTTAAATACATCGCAATTTTCTGATAGACAATGGTTTGGCAGTGTTATGGGGAATTATATTGGCAACATATACTGATGTTCCTACAGAGTTAGATTACTACAAGGTTCAAGGTCACGTCTCATATTGTATGTAGAAATAGGTGCATTTTGTGTTATAAATGGAATAATATTTCTTGTTTTTTTTTTAACGACTAGGTATCTAACCACATTTTAATGGTTTTATCATATTGTTTACAATTGGTAGAGCATAACAAACAAAATAAAAAGGCTTGGAGGGTTATCAAAATCGTTCAAGAGGCTTGCGAAGCAATGTCCGTCTGAATATGTGGCCAGGTCAGGAACGCTCCGGATACGAGAGGCATAATTTCTAGGATTTATTGGCGGTAAGGATGAAGCTCGTTATATGAATGGTGATGAAAATATGTGCAGGGAAGGGATATAGAGGAAGGCAAAATGAATATTTTCTTCACGACCCTTCTGGGATGTAGCTGTCATCGATCATGATCTGTGAAATAGATAAAGATGCTGTCTAGTTGGGCATATTAAATATTATTTTGATAAGTTAATTGTGAAAATCAGGTAAAACAGTATTGCAATATGCTATGAACAGCCCTACACAACTGAAAAGTCTGTCATACCATTAATCCAGCTAATCTTATTAATTTGCAGTGATTTAGGCGCTACCTTCGCATGACGACAGCGACCGTCAACCAATCAACGCAGCGTGTTCAAGGTCAGGCTTGTTTACCGAGCCGGAGGCGAATGTTGTGGTCTGTCAGATTGGTGCCGGTGGTGGTGGAGGTTGGGGCGCGCTGTTAAATAATTATGGGCCAACGTAGGTACAACAAAAGTTGTACGATATGATTTTAACAAGATATGAAGACCGTTCGAGTCGATCAAGAAAGTCTACAGTTGTGTAGAGGTAAGGCAGGAGCTGACAATTTAATGGGGCCTGTTTTATACCAATTTTGAGCATGATTTTACTTATTAGAGGAAACATTGCAAAGTGTTTGATCAGTGCTCTGGAATATTTATGAATATACCAAGGCCCTCTCATAAGGGGGCAACACCCTCATGTCTATGCTTAGATCAGGCATTATTCAAATTGAGTGCTTGTTTTAAGATTTATTTACTTACCTATCAAAAATGTCACCATACCATAATGATGGTTTCCCTACCAGTTTGTATGGATGTTAGCTTCTTTATTGACTCAATGTATTGCCACAGGTCTACTGTTCCAAGAATCATGTCTGGTGAGGGCCAGCAGCTGCTGCAGCTGATGCAGCAGCTGGTACGCTCCAGCAGCGACAATGACATCAGGGCTGCCGCAACCAAGCTCAGCAACACAGTCCTGGCAGCAGGTCAGTTCTACCCAACCATCAAACTGGCTAATTTGAGAATGCTTTATGTCAATTTATCAGGCTGTCAATTATCCTTGCTTCCTCTATTGGATGCCTGTTTGAAAAAAAAAACTGTTGAAATACTAAATCAAGCAGAAGCTGAGCTATATCATTTAGATCCAGGGGCCAAAAGTACCAGATGAGATGACTGAATTGCTGCAGGTCACTGCTTTTGTCAGGGACTTTTCCTGTAGCTGCACATCACAGTTTGAACCAGAGGTGGCAAAGGGCCAGCACAAGATCACAACTGGCAGTGTCTCAGGCATTTTGTTATTTAGGCATAAAATAATTTCATGAGAAAGTAGGTAATTTACCAGTTTGAGTAACTGCTAATAAACCTGTAGCACCCTATATGTTTATCATGCTATCTGTGGCTCATTGCATCATCAGGAAAAAGAAGCAATCGATGAACCAGAGACAATTGAACTTCCATATTTGGGGCAAATCTAGAGTTGCTATTATTTGACTTTTGGGTCCCTGATACGAGTACATTGTTAACATGACCTTCATTGGCATGGATTGAGTCTTGGCGATAACTTATAAGTGCGCGAACTGTAGCTGAATCGATGCCGTACTATGGCTCGGCTTATGCTGCACAATACACATCGCGGGCCCGTTAGGCGATATTGGCCGCTGGCTTATGAAGATCGTTTCCAAAATTGGCTCAAATGCTTCGTTGTACTGTGGACGAATGGATGAAGTCTGAGCTGTTGTTGCATAGGGAGTACCGCTACCTTCCGTCCGAAAAAGTCCCGCTCGTGAAGGCACCATTGAAGCCAAAGTATAACGTGCCCACATATCTTGACATGCCCCGTCTCACCCATCAACCGGCTGCGGCCGCTCCCACCAGCTGCAGACCGCTGCTGTTAGGAGCCTCAGTTCCGGCGTTCCCGCAGTAACCATGGCTGCACCGCTCCACGCCGCTGGACCCTGACACCCACTGACCAGTCAGTGGTGGCGGTTTTTCCCTGGCGGGGGGGGAGGCTGAAGTCACTTAGTTTTACGGTTTTGTTCGCACATTTTCTTATTACGAGGTTGAGCATTATATTGTTGAATCTTGTGCCGGTAATTAGGCATTCAAAAGGATGCTATAATTTCCTTTTATTCCTTATAATGGGTTTTTGAATCAACGTCATGGAGTATATAATTAATATTTCTTATAGGCACGAACGTTCCACGAGCGAAGCTATAATTTTCACGACGCGTACACAAATCGCGATTTTACAGTCGAATTGCAAACCACTGTCGATAACACTTCAAATCACTTCCGAGCTCTTGCCAACCCTATTGAACCCAAACCGGCTCAAACCAGTGTCGGCAGCCGCCCCCAGCTGCCAAAGCCCGGCCCTGGCGATACCCGTCAGTTGGTTACGGTCGGCCGGCAGCCCCTCTGTTCCCCGCCGAGGGCCGAGCGGCGACCCGCGCGCCTCGCATTCTGACCTCGGTGCCCCGTGTCCCCCTCTGCCCCCTGTGTCCCCCCCCCCCGACCGGGCTGCCAGCCGACAGACGAGCGGACGCACAATGCCGGGGCGGTCAGCGGTGCCAGGAGCTCGACACGTATGTGACGTAACGAGAGAAACGGGAGTAGGAGAGACGGGGGACTGAGAAGGGAAGAGCTCCAAACGGGTACGGATGGATCAGGAGGGACACTGTTCGATACTGTTAATGGGTGGTGCTGCCTTGGCCCTGTCAGAGCGGGAGGTCAGGCTTTCTGTTCGTTCGAGGTTTTAATGAAAATGATCCGTGTTATGCCTCTGAGTGGCTTCCTCGCTCCCATGCTGATGAAAGTTGGAGCAGCTGGGCACAATTTCTGAGACGGTGGATGGAGCTAACACATAACGACGGACTTATGAGCCGCGGTTCTGAGAGCTCCCAAATAAGCTGTCGCAGGTACTGGACGGCGCCGTCTGGGACGGTCACGCGAGACATGCAACCACTCCGATTTGGCTGTCGCTGCGCAGTGCTGCATTCAACAAACGTTTTTATCGCATCCACTGGTAAATCAACAACGAAGATAGAAAAGCTCGACTCGCTGAGCTGATTTAAAAAAAAAGGATTTCATGAAAAATCAGGGGCGGATCCAGGATTTTCTTCGGCCAGGGGCCAGTGGCATAGGGGCGCCATATTTTCAGCCTAGGTACTAGGGGTGGCAAAATTTACGATTGGGGCCGCATCTCTAGGTTTTCGAGGAAAAGATCAATGAAGGTCGACTCCTCTTCGGTTAAGCGGAGTCCCTCCCAACGCTCGAGCCCTCGGTTTCCGTCAGAGTCGGTGCCACCCCTCGTCTCTGGGTCGCGGTGAGCCGGCCGCTGAGGCCGGGCAGTGGGGCGGAATCTGTCACCGTCCGCGCCGACAGTGACGTGTCGTCATGTTCCGCCGACGGCACGCCGCCCCGTGACGTCACAGATACAGGGCTGACGGCTGTGACGTCATATGACCGACCATTGTGACTGACGTCAGTGTGGTCCGGCGCCGCGGCTCCGGGTGGCCGACAGTGGTTTTCTGCTTGGTTTCATCGCTTTCGGTTCCTTATGCCCCGTTAGAATCAATATTTGGATTTTACACATTGCCATTCTTGCGTTTGTCAAATGATCACGGGTCTGTTTCTCCCTTCATCTGTCCCGATGTAACCTGACCTTTCTTCGTCCCAAGGAATACTGTCTTCCCTCTATTATAGCCTGTCCTGACCTCTACCCTCGCCCCTCGGTCCATTGCTGGCCAATATCTGCCCGTCCCCGTTTCAACTGTCCTGACACCTCTCCCCGTTTCAGGCTGCTCGGGCTGCCGCTCTGTATGTGACCACTGACCTGTTCCTGGCTGTTCTGGCCTCTGCTCTCTTCCCGTTTCAGGTTGTTCGGGTTGCCGCTCAGTCTGTGACCTGATCCTGGCTGTTCTGACCTCTGACCTCTGTTTCAGGCTGCCGGTCAGTGTGTGATCTGTTCCTGGCTGTTCTGACCTCTGACCTCTGTTTCAGGCTGCTCGGGCTGCCGGTCAGTCTGTGACCTGTTCCTGGCTGTGCTGACCTCTGACCTCTGTTTCAGGCTGTGCTGACCTCTGACCTCTGTTTCAGTCTGTACTGACCTCTGCTCTCTCCCCTCAGGCTGTTCGGGCTGCCGCTCAGTCTGTGACCTGTTCCTGGCTGTGCTGACCTCTGACCTCTGTTTCAGGCTGCTCGGGCTGCCGGTCAGTCTGTGACCTGTTCCCGGTCAGTGCTGGAAATGAGGCCGCTTTCTGGTCCCGGCGTTTTATTCTCCAGGCGGGTTAATCCCGTCCAGCGCTTAGCCTTTCGGGACCCACTCAGGGTCCCGGTTGTTTTCGCCGCGCGCCCCAGTCGAGATGCAAAGTTAATAGTCACACGAAGCTCATTTAGGGCCAGCCAAACCAGCCTGGTCTGGAGTTACTGTTAAATGTATGCATGTAGATGAAAGAAAAAGGTTTTGTAGAATCGATTAATTTCGAATTCGTATATTCAGAGGCCCCAATTAAACTTCGTGTGACTATTAATTTTGCATCTCGACTGGGGCTGGCTGCGAAAACAACCGCGGCTCAGAGAGGGTCCCGAAAGGCTAAGCGCTAGACGGGGCTAACCCACCCGGAGAATAAAACGCCGGGGCCAGAAAGCGGCCTCATTTCCAGCACTGTTCCCGGTTGACCTGTCATCTGACCTCTGACCTCTGCTTCAGGCTGCTCGGGCTGCCGGTCCGTCTGTGACCTGTTCCTGGCTGTGCTGACCTCTGACCTCTGTTTCAGGCTGTTCTGACCTCTGACCTCTGTTTTAGGCTGCTCGGGCTGCCGGTCAGTGTGTGACCTGTTCCTGGCGGGGGACGGTCAGCTGGTGCAGCGCTACGTCGCCACCATGAAGGTCAGTCAAAAACGCCAGTGCGCGCTACGGTATCTCTCCACTACGAGGGCCAGTCAACGACACCAGCGCAGCAATATGCAGGTTTAAACACTGGCACACACAGAGATGCGTCGCTAACTATCAATGAAGATCAATTCAGTTCTGGCCGACACCAAGCACAACGACGCGCCGCTGCCAAGAGCCCATTCAGTTTTTGGCCATGGTCGCTTTGTTGTGCTAAACATAACCGCAGGCTGTTTGAAATAGACAAACACTATTCGTTAGATAAGCAGGATTTGTTAAGGTCCAACAACAAGAGTGAGTTGTTGAGTGTTCGCTTGTAGGACATGCGTCGTTGCCAAGGCGTTTGTGATATTTTTGGGTGACATCTAGGCTAGTGGCTGTCACTGGCTACCATGCGGACTTACTTAGTCTCAATTCTTTTTGAAACGTTCTAATTCTTCGCGGATCTGTCTGAAATTCCTACCAAACTGTTAGATGTGAGCTGACAGTCACAACTCACAGATACTCCCACGTCGCCTCTGTATCACCGGATGAGTCTGACATCTTCACACCATTCAGTCAGTGTCACTCCCCTCCCCGGGTCAGAGTTCATTAAACCGCGGCGTCACCAGAGGCAGTGACAGGCACCGACGGCGCCGTGATGGGTCCATCTGCCCGACGGTGTCAGTTGGCACCACCCCGGGCCGACTGTAGAGACGCCGGGGTCATTGGTATCACCTCAGCGGACTACACTGACGAATGTGGAACGTGCTACAAACGGCTGTGGGATTTAATGTGTCAAAACATCTCACATAGCGATGCAGACACGTAGGCTCATTTTGAGCTTCCTCAGTTGTTATATTTTCGTTCAATCAATCACTGGCGCCGTGTTTTGGGTTCGTGCCGTGCCACAGCTCCGTGTCTGCCGTTTCCGGCCCTGTCTCCCCTCTCCGCCTCCCGTCTGTCCAGTGTCCATGTTTCCTCCGCGGCCGCCACCGGCAGCGGGGTCTGTCGGCGGGCTGTTACCGTCCGGACCGACGCCGCTGGGGGCGGACGGCCGAGCGCCCGCCCCGGTTTGTGTTGGCTCCGCGCTCCCGGGTGGTGGGCGGTGGGCGGCGGGCGGCGGGCGGTGGGGGGCTGTCTGAGTACGTCACCCAGAGCCGACAGACTGGCTGGCGGCCCTTTGTTACACCGCCGCCGTCAGTCGGTCGGTAGGCTGCTCGGCAGGGCGGGACGGCCGGGGGACGACCCCCCACCCCTCCCCCCGGGGGTGGGTCATATACCGTCGACAGTCACCTGTGATCGGCCGCCAGGCTGGGGTCTCCCCGACCGCCCGTGGGATGTGATGGATCCCCGGGCACATCCAGCGACAAACTGTCTCCTCTGTTTGCCGTGGAGCCGGGCCAGTGGATCGGGTCGGCGGGCCGGTAAATCACAGAGCAGCCCTCCCTCCTTCGAGTCGGTACCCGCAGCTGGGTGGGTAGCCCGCCGGGAGGTCCAGGGCGGCCGCACCTATCGAAAGATGGATTTATCGCCGGGCACAGGTGATCGATATCGGTCGCTGGTGGCTGCTGTTTTTGGCTGGGGGCCGCTGGCATGGAGCAGTGTCATGGACACAATTCTCACAGGTGGTTTATATCGTTTGACTTGAGTTGTACAGATGTTTGTAACATTAGAACCGGTGACTCACTGCTGATTGTTGATGTTCCGGGGTGTAAATCGTTTGCGTCTGTTGTTGTCTTGTAGTGATCAATGCAATTATTTGCAGAAAATGCGGTTAAATCAATTGTGAGCTATAATTGTGTTCAGAATCATAACATTTTGCCTGCTGATGAAACCCGAGCAAGAGGAGATGATTTTAACTTAATGCAGTGTATCTACATTGAAGCAAATTATTTTGATAACAAAACGCAAGCCAGCACCGGAAAATAATAAAAGAAATGTTTTCTTGTGAAATATTTTTGCTGAATATTTAGGTAGATGCCTCTCTGTGCCAAGCTACCTACTCCCTTGCTGAACATTTGCCGTGAGGATCTCTCCCCACGAGCCTCTCTGTCGTCCAGGGTGCTATTACATCCCTTTATCATCTCCCGTTAGCGTTCGTCTTTCAGCGAGGTATTTAGTGAGACGTCAGAGAGGTCTCTGAGTCTCTAGCGCCGGCCTCTGTGGTGTTGATGGAAGTGACAAACAGCCCCATCAACAGCGGGGCTCTGTTCTGACCGCCGCGCTGATGCAGTCTGTCCGTCAGAGTCGTACAGCGGTGTGCTGTGTCTTGTGCTGACCGGGTAGTCTGTGTTCGGTGAACTGTGTTCTCTGAGTTCACTATGTTCTCTGTTAACTCTCCAGTGGGTACTGCCTTTTCTGCTGACGGTGTTGTGTTCTCTCTTGACGTCTTGTCTGTTTCAGGGTGTCTCAGACACACAGAGTCTAGTCCATCTCACCAACGTGCTCGCCGAGTGTCTCAAAGACAAAGGTGAGAACCGCTTGTTGACACCTTCCGTCGAGCTTGATTGCGGCGAGTGTGTTTTGCATTTGTCGTCTTGTCTGTGTTTTACATTTTTGCGGGCGGAGTATTGTATTTTTGATCCCTTTGTTTTGAAGTTCAGTGTCAACTCAGAACCATTCCCACGTCATTAATCTTTGTCTAATGCACGCACTGCTGGTCTCTCCTGATCCCTCACTGATCGCTGCCAAGTTACCTGAAGTTCAGATGGTTATCCACCGATCGAACCGCTTTACTCCCGTTGTTGTTTGATGCAATCTGCTGGCGCGGCGCCCGCCGCACACCGCGCCTCCCCGGCTCGTCAGTTTCACCCAGTGCAGTGTGTGTGTTATCGTAACAGGTGACCGTGTGGGACGGTACTTACACAACAGGCCGAGAAAGCTAGCTGCCGGCTGCCAGCCTCGTGTTCAAAACACCGTGTGCCTGACGCTGATCCTCCTCCGTTAGCTGCGGCAGCTCAGCTCTGGCAGCTCGGACAGATGTACCGTAACGAAGGAGGCTGGCAGAGTAGCGGCCTTGGCTCGGTGACGGTGTTCTGTTGTGCCCCCCCCCCCCTCCCCACTGTGCCCCGCTGTGACCCTGCGGGGTCCAACTCCCGGGCTGTTTTGCCGGCGGGCGACCGTCGTTACTGTCTTTGCACCGTCGTTAAAACGTCACCACTTCGCCGCGGAACACAAACCACGGGACAAGCGTTCCACGACAACGACATTCTGGGGAGGCTTCAATCCGGAGACGCTCTTAGTTGGCACGCTTCACACTCGGATCGTACTGCAGGATGTTTTGCCGTCACATTCTAAAAGAGCTGGATGGATGTGCGACGTGGATCCGTCACGGCAACTGTGACAGACATATTGCTAAAATATGTCGCATAAAACAGAGCATCGAATAGCAGCAACTCTTTGCCTTGTTTGATTCTACCTCAGGCAGTTTGAGGCAGAATATAGTGATTGTCTGTGGGCGGGGGCGATTAACACTAAGTGGGTGATTAACACTAAGTAGTGATCAGGAGGCAAAGAGTAAAGACACTGAGTGACGATTGCAATCTGTCTGAGATGGGCAGTGAACGAAGGGCGGAGACCGGGACGACGGCCAGCTGTAATTAGCGGTAACTGTGTGGTGAGTGTATAACGCGAGGTCGGATTCCGAGTGGTGTGGGCGGCGCTGCCAGCTACTGAGGAGCTGCGTGCAAACACCGTCACGCTACACACTCGGCGTGGCGCGTCTCTGGCTGCTCCGTGGGACGATAAAATGGCAACTACTCAGCTCAGAGCAATGAACTGCGCGAGTCTCACTGGCCTGGGTGCTCTAGAGAGCGTCAGAGAGCCCCAGAATGTTAGCTGTAGATAAGAGCTGAGTAGGCTCGCGGTTTTCTGGACATTACTATTGCCTGAATTGATATGCATTGTTGAAAGTATCTTCGGTTGAAATGACAGCGCAGCTGAAACGTTAGGCTGTTACCTACAACCACACGTTATTTTCACGTGCGACGTCTAATTTCATGTTGAAAAATCAAACTGCCATTGCGTACCTAGTCGAGTGAAGTGGGTCCTCATAACCTGACCAGTAACAGCGTCATCAACCTCGGGTCTCCGCTAAAACGAGCTAATATTACCTCGGCCGATAAATCTCGGGTCCCCGAACTGGCCGATAAATCCCCGGCCCAGATCCCCGCCGTTCGCGGTTCGTTGTTGACGCTTAAAGAACAGGTGGTCTCTGATCATCTGCGCGCCCGCCCTGGCAGCGGACTCTCGGATGTGGGTGTTGTTGAGAGCCGGCAGGGTTGGTGTGTGTCAGTTCTGCTGAGCCGTGACGGTGCGATACGACCCTCACACTTGGCTGGCACACTCAGCAGACCTCAACCCGTCCCGCCTCTCGCCAGCCTGGAGTTAACCGGTCCGGGATGACGTCAGCACCCGCCCTGGTTCGCCCCTTGCACGCGCGCTGCCAGCTATCTATGGGTACGCGTTTGGTTGGTGTGTGTGTGTGGGGGGGGGGGGGGGGGGCAGTGGGGATGTGTGAACTGGGACCCGCCCTGGTGCCAGCAGCGGCCGAGGTCAGCCGTCCTTATGAGGGCTATGTGGGTTGCCTGAATGGTGCTCTGCGTGGTGGATGGACGAACTCTGTCTAACAAAGCATCAGATCTGTGCACTTATCCGGGTCATTTACCTCTGAAATTTTAGGTTTAAATTATAATTCTTGACCCCACGCTTTTGATCCACAGTTTCCCTCTCGCAGAGTGTTCGGGAGAGGCATGTGTCTTTAACGCCCCTCCCCTTTTCCCTTCCTCAGAATGTTCGGGTGAAGTGTGCCGGCGTCTAACCCTCCCCTCTCTCCCTCTTCCTTCCCTCAGAATGTTCGGGAGAGGCATGTGTCTTGACCCACCCCTCTTCTCCCTCAGAATGTTCGGGAGAGGTGTGCCGTCGTCTGACTTCCTCTCCTCCCTCAGAGTGTTCGGGAGAGGTGTGCCGTTGTCTAACTCGCCCCTCTCCTCCCTCAGAGTGTTCGGTAGAGGTGTGCCGTTGTCTAACTCGCCCCTCTCCTCCCTCAGAGTGTTCGGGAGAGGTGTGCCGTTGTCTAACTCGCCCCTCTCCTCCCTCAGAGTGTTCGGTAGAGGTGTGCCGTTGTCTAACTCGCCCCTCTCCTCCCTCAGAGTGTTCGGGAGAGGTGTGCCGTCGTCTAACCCTCCCCCTCTCCCTCAGAGTGCACAGGAGAGGTGTGCCGTCGTCTGACGGACTCGGGCGGTACGGAGGTGGTGGTGGCCTCCCTCCGTTCGCTGGGCCCGGCCAGCCAACAGTACCAGACCGTCACCGCGCTCTACACTATACTCTACAAGATCGGGAAAAAGGGTGAGTCCGCCCCGACACGCTCGATCCAGCCCGACCGACTGACTGGGAGGTTTTATGGCCGCTCCGAACGTTAGATGGAGACGTATTGAACGGCTCCTGTCAAACACAACAGACAGGGACGACGCAGTGGGCAATAGACGTCAGTCGCGAAACATATAACTGCACCTTATGTGACATACGGATCGTTTATCAGTCATCATTTATCGTCAGCTTGAATGCCTTGTAGCGTCTCGATTGTCATGCTTCTGGATTGAATCATCTCTTTGTCGCGCAATATGGACTGCAAAGCCAGGCTGCCTTGCATATCACTGCGGATCTCTTGTATTTACATGGTCCCAACCCGCCCACCTTGCCGAGTGTGGTTAGTCCATTTGCATAGTCCGTCTACTCTCTGCTTTCATGCTTTTTCGGTCTCCCCTCTTGTTTATTGTTTTTTTTTTCTGAACAGCTCTCTAGCCCTAATCATTTCCCTGCCTCTGATATAACCTTTGGCCGTCGCAGACCTGCGGTCTCCCGTCCATCCCTGCCCCTGGTGTTGCTCTGACCCGCTCCTGAATGTACCGCAGACCCGCGGTTCGCTGTCCGACGTCCGTGTGCGGCGCTGACTGGCTCTGATGTTGTTGTGCTATTTCACAGACCCACGGTTTGCGGTCCGTCTCCGTCTGTGCGGCGGTCTGAAGGTGCTGCTCCGCCGGCTCCAGGATAACGCCCAAAAGTGCCGCATCTGCGTCCCGGCACTGCAGTGCGTCAAACTGGCCGCCGGAAACGGTGAGAGGGGATTAGGGAAGCGCTGGGGTCGGATATCGCTCGGCTGAACTGCTGTCTGAGAGCTCATTTATCCGTTGGCGCTGATTGAAGGGTGTCCGTTCAGCTGTATGACGAAGCTGCACATTGTGACGCTGCGCCGGTCCGTTTAATGTTATGTATCACTTTCATGCTGAAAAAGTGGATCACTCTTAGTGAAATACGCTTTTGCTCCGTTACGTTGACTTAATGATTATTTTCGGAGTAACGACGACGATCAACGACAAGTAACGACGGTTAACACGCATGTTTTATTTCTAAACCTTTTTTCTTAATATGAGCAACACACCCGCTCGAGCTGGAACTGACTCTCGTCTCCGCTCTCAAACATCGATCTTTCTGACGCCCGCCCTCGGTCGCCCCACAGACCAGAACGTCTCTGTCTTGGGCCGCGGTGAAGCGGTAGAACACCTCTGTCGCCTGGTGCCCCACCTCTGGAACATGTCCGGACTCAAACAGCAGCTGACGCTAGAGTGCACGGCGCGACTCATCAGAAATAGTGAGTGGACCGGAGTGGAGAGTTTGGGAGGAGTTTGACCGACAGTAGCCGGTGGCGGTGGTACCCGGTATCGAGCGGCTGTGCCGAGTCAGACCTGCTGGGGAGGCGTGGAAGGGGAGGGATTGCAGCTGCCGCTGTCTGTGAGGTAGCTGGTTTTGTCCAGTCACGATCCCACCCTCCCTCCCTCCGGGAAGTCGGAAGTGTGGGGAGGGAGCGGAGGGATCTGAGCCGTCTGCCTCGGACACCTCTCGCCAATTACCATCGTGTTTACTCGACCACCGGTTGTGGCCGGCTGGTGAGTAACGTCCCGAGTCTGGTGAGTTACGTCCCGAGTCTGGTGAGTTATGTCCCGAGTCTGGTGAGTTACGTCCCGAGCTGGTGAGTTACGTCCCGAGTCTGGTGAGTTAGGTCCCGAGTCTGGCGTGTTACGTCCCGAGTCTGGTGAGTTACGTCCCGAGTTATAACTCCCACTCGCCGCCCTCACCGGGCGTTGTGTGTCTGATCCGGTGGGCTGGTTAATTATTTACGAGCCGCTGCAGAAACAGTGGCCTGTCGGATGAATTTAGCGCGGCGACTGTGAGAGTGCCAGGACCCCGCGTTTATATGCGTGATTGACCGAGCAGGTGTTCTCATTAGTAATTGCTGTGATGTTATTTATTGCGGAGTGTTTCAGTGTGCTGTTGTGTGTCTACCACCAAGTGTTGCGGAGGTGTCGTTGCTGTTTTTCATGGACAATGTGTGCTCGTATATGTCATACTCTGCTCTGTTACGTGCTTGATGTACCGACAGGGAACTAACTAAGGAGATAACCATGACAATATGTCGTCTGTCAAGATACTGACTCCTGTATCGTTTGTGGACCGTTCTGTTAAAGCTCTGTTTGTTTTACTCTTGTCTCCATCCCTCACTACTCTCAGTCGTGAACTTTACTTTAGTGAGAAGCGGGACACACCATAACATCCGGTCTCCAACGTCAACCTCCGCTACCGCGGACAGAGCCACAAACCCATCATCAGAGCCATTCGCAGTGTGGGCCCACTCGGGGCCGGTGTGAGGGGCAAACAGTCGGCTGCAGTGTTGACTGTCCCCCCCCCCCCCCCACCACCACCACCTGGCCGGCTGGACTGGATCCAGGACCAATCCAAGTCGTGACCCCTCCCTCTCCCACTCCCTCCTCCCCCCGCCCTGCAGTGGTGGGTCACGTCTATCCCCAGCCTGGAGAGAGCGGGAGGGGACTGATGCTCTGTAGAGTAAACGACCACGCCCAGTGGAAGGGGGGGGGGGGCTGACAGACCGACTTTTGTTCAGAGAGTCATAGAGGTGGCTACGGGCGGCGCACGGAACTGAGTCATTTATTCTTGGATCGCTATGAATGTGTGTGTGTGTGTGTGTGTGTTTTTTTTTACCTCGTTAATAAGACCATAGCTTAGATGTCGTTTTCAGTATCATGGGCATATGGAGGTATGCCGTTACGCTACCTTATTGCATCACACCGAACTTTCTTGCAGCTGCTTCTTTTGTGTTCTGTCAGTCATTCTGGGATTAAAAAATATGAATGGTCCTTATGGCATTAGCACCGAACCATTTCTTATGATAAAAAAACTTGTAGCAGCGCAATGCAATCTAGAGGCGATTAGAAAGAGGACGTCTTTCTGGGGTCATTTTATGTTTTTTTACCTCCAACAGAGCTGCATCCCTTCTTTTCACGACCCTTTCATCATTTCACCGCCGCCGCTGCCTCTGTGTCTTCAGGAATGAACCGTCGGCGACTGCTGAAGGAGAACGTGATCCCGCGCCTGCTGCCGCTGCTGCAGCCGCGCCACAAGCTGGAGAAGAAGACGCAGTACAACGTGCAGAAAGCCGTGCTGAACATCGTCTTCGCTCTCGCCGACCTAAGTGAGTCCCGGGGCCCGGGGGCCACTTCTGCCGACCTCAGTGAGTCCCGGGGCCCGGGGGCCACTTCTGCCGACCTCAGTGAGTCCCGGGGGCCACTTCTGCCGACCTCAGTGAGTCCCGGGGCCCGGGGGCCACTTCTGCCGGGACCGTGAGGGAGGGCTCCTGCATGCACCGACGCACCGTCTCTGATTCATTTGTTCACGGGTCTAGTGGAACCTTTTTTTCCAAGGTCCCAATACCACAATATCACCCGTCCTTGGTCTAGGAAAGTGAACCTCGAAATTGAGCCGCCCGTTAGACGTAGCTCTGCAGGTGATCAGTCGCCCAGTTTAGCCACTAGAGGGCAGCAGTGACCGGCCGCTGAGCCGGAGCCTCGGTGGCTGACCACCAGGTGGCAGTCGTGTACCGTGGCGGCAGGTATACCTCAGAGCTGCTTGGCTCATCGCCGGCCCAAGACAGACGTTGACCCGTCCGGTCTAGGTTTGGCAGGCGATCCGTATTATTGCTTTAAAAAAGATTAAATGCTCGACGAAGCATATAAGATAGTCACCTAACAATGGAACATCTTTGGAGTCTGTTATAACTAGTGATGTCAATTACAGAAAATCGGAATACCGATACCAAACCAAACACCAATCAAAATCGTGAGGAAATACCGAAACCGAACCAACTTGGGAACATGAGGAAAATACCAACTTTTTTACCAATTCCTCGGCATCTTATAGGTACATTAGTGAGATTTCATAATACCAACAAAATACCAAACACGTTAGGATTAAAATACCAAAAAGCAAGTTGGTATCGGTTTGGTGTCGGTATACCAAAAAGTTGGTATCCGTTTGACATCTCTAGTTATAACCCATTTTATTCATTCAGAATGATTCCCTCGAAGTCGCTCGAGGCGATATTTTACAGTCGTGCTCACGTTTATCCGCTGCGTTCCTTGCTGGCTCTCATCGTTCCACTTAGGCCAGTCAGCCGCTCTTGTTGTGTTGCTGTCTGTGGTGCAGCTGCTTCTGTCATTGCCTATTCCGATTGTGAACAATAGCAGGGTATGCCTAGTTTTTCACTCGTTTGTAATGCTTCATATCATTTTAGTCGCATGCTCGTCTATACCCTTTTCCGAACTGTGTGCCGTGTGCATTTGAATAAACGGATGCCCATATTTTCAGACTTTTCAACACGGTCTAGTGGTTTTTACGATCATTATTGTGAATCATAGTGACGTTTGAGCAATGGACCAGCATGCCATCTGGCTTTTGCATCTTTATCTTTGGTCGTTAGTTAACCCGCGCCCCGCTGGGGGTCCTAGATTTCCACGCCATGCTGGGCCTGTCTCCTGGGCCACGTAACGATACGAGAAAGGTGGCGTTCGAAAAGGCGTCAAAAGTAAGGAAAAAATCACTTCGTTTTTTGGTCAGGTTAAAGGTCAGGTCACCAGAGGTCATTGAAGGCCAAAATTCGCCGATTTGTAAGTCAGATTTCAACAATTTTTAACAAATCGACGCACAGCTCGGAACGTAATAAAGCTACAGCGCCACGAAAAGGCGCATTTGCTAGCTCTATTAACGATCTATCTGAGTAATTCCCTCGATTTGACCTACTGTCAACGGTTTTGCCTGCAGGGGCAACTGCCAAAATAGGCGATTTTTTCGGAAACAGTTTTTCTGCAATAACTTTTGACTCAAACCTTGCACGAACTTTGTTTTACCAGCATCGTGTTCCTCTCGTGAAGACGCGTTGATTTAAGTATCACTTGATCTTGAAAGGTCAACTTGAAAATTTGACCTCAGGTCAAGGTCATAACCTGACCGGTAAGGATCAAGTTGCATATCAGTCGATCTGTATCGTCGAGCCAAACATAACTAAGGTGTTTTCATCGCTCTAGTATGCCTCTATCAAAAGTTATTCGCCAAAAACTGTCAGATATCATTGGTGACCTGAGATGACCTCGGGGTCATAAAAAGGGGTCACGGGTGCCCTTTTCATGTTTAGTGTGTCAAAGACACTACTAATTCAGTGTTTTAGAGTGTTTATAATTGCTTTCGTCTAAAAGAGGCGACTTTCATTTTTCTTCTTATAATGGGGAGGTCGCAAAATTGACCTGACCTTAGTTCACCGATATCAAAATTCCAAGATATTAATTTTGTACATACTGCTGCTATTATCAATCACTGAAATTTTCAAAGCGATCGGTCACTCGGTGTAGATATGGCAGACATTGAAACTTTGTATGCAGTGAGGTCACTTGGCCTGACCTGGTGACCTGACCTGACCTTAAGCGACCTTGGTCCGAACAACATATGTAGAAAAGTTGTATGATAAGGTGTGCCAAAAACAAAACGATATTCGTGAAAAACCGCAGGGGTGGGTGTTCAAACACCCCCAGCAAGGCGCGTGTTAACAGACGGTGTGGTATATTTTTCCAACATTTATTGACAAACCGTACATATATGACAAGTATATAATAATTGAGGGCTCTCAAGCCCAACAAGGACAGTCTCTGTCATGGCTTCCGACACGAAACAGCCGCTCACCCGTCTATACTAACGGGCGCACCAGGTTGAGACGTTTAAACCCGCAAACGACTGATATGCTCCGACACAATAGGGCTTCCAAAGCCCCCACAACATGCGAGTAATATTTGGCAAGCGTACACGCTGGCATACAGTACTGTTGGCAATATACACAAAACGGCCCTCACATTTCAGCTGCATTGTGATTGGGGGGCGGCCGAGCTATAAAAATATAACGCCGCTCCGATTGTGACCAGACTCTAATCGGGTGCGATCTATCTCCTAGGGCAGTTCAACTGCGAGGTACTGTGAGCAATCCAAACTCCGGGGTTAATCCTGAACACAGCAGCACGGAGGTGCGCTTCTCACGCGCCTCCGCCACTGGCGACCGGAGCTGGCCAGCGCCTCCGGTTCCGCTCACAGCCGTCCGCGTCCGCCGGCGTCCGCAGTGGTTCGCCGCGCGGATTCCGCTCAGTGCGCTCACACGCAGCTGCAGCCGTAGCCGCCGTCATCGGCACTGCCACTGTCACCCGAAGGGCTCTCGCGGTCGACACACGTGCACTTACAGTCCTTGCACGTGCACTTTCCGCCCTTGCAGCAGTCGCCGGCATTGCAGCATTTGCCATTGCAGCAGCATCCGCAGTTGTTGGCAGGAGTGCACTTGCAGTCTTTGCATGTGCACTTTCCGCCCTTGCAGCAGTCGCCGGAGTCGCAGCATCCGCAGTTGTTGTCAGGAGTGCACTTGCAGTCCTTGCACGTGCACTTTCCGCCCTTGCAGCAGTCGCCGGTGTCGCAGCATTTGCCGTTGCAGCAGCATCCGCAGTTGTTGTCAGGAGTGCACTTGCAGTCTTTGCACGTGCACTTTCCGCCCTTGCAGCAGTCGCCGGAGTCGCAGCATTTGCCGTTGCAGCAGCATCCGCAGTTGTTGTCAGGAGTGCACTTGCAGTCTTTGCACGTGCACTTTCCGCCCTTGCAGCAGTCGCCGGCGTCGCAGCATTTGCCGTTGCAGCAGCATCCGCAGTTGTTGGCAGGAGTGCACTTGCAGTCTTTGCACATGCACTTTCCGCCCTTGCAGCAGTCGCCGGCATTGCAGCATTTGCCATTGCAGCAGCATCCGCAGTTGTTGGCAGGAGTGCACTTGCAGTCCTTGCACGTGCACTTTCCGCCCGTGCAGCAGTCGCCGGCGTCGCAGCATTTGCCGTTGCAGCAGCATCCGCAGTTTTTGTCAGGAGTGCACTTGCAGTCCTTGCACGTGCACTTTCCGCCCTTGCAGCAGTCGCCGGAGTCGCAGCATTTGCCGTTGCAGCAGCATCCGCAGTTGTTGTCAGGAGTGCACTTGCAGTCCTTGCACGTGCACTTTCCGCCCTTGCAGCAGTCGCCGGAGTCGCAGCATTTGCCGTTGCAGCAGCATCCGCAGTTGTTGTCAGGAGTGCACTTGCAGTCTTTGCACGTGCACTTTCCGCCCTTGCAGCAGTCGCCGGCGTCGCAGCATTTGCCGTTGCAGCAGCATCCGCAGTTGTTGGCAGGAGTGCACTTGCAGTCTTTGCACGTGCACTTTCCGCCCTTGCAGCAGTCGCCGGCATTGCAGCATTTGCCATTGCAGCAGCATCCGCAGTTGTTGTCAGGAGTGCACTTGCAGTCTTTGCACGTGCACTTTCCGCCCTTGCAGCAGTCGCCGGCGTCGCAGCATTTGCCGTTGCAGCAGCATCCGCAGTTGTTGTCGGGAGTGCACTTGCAGTCTTTGCACGTGCACTTTCCGCCCTTGCAGCAGTCGCCGGAAGTCGCAGCATTTGCCGTTGCAGCAGCAACCGCAGTTGTTGTCAGGAGAGCACTTGCAGTCTTTGCACGTGCACTTTCCACCGCTGCAGCAGTCGCCGGAATTGCAGCATTTGCCATTGCAGCAGCATCCGCAGTTTTTGGCAGGAGTGCACTTGCAGTCTTTGCAAGCGCACTTTCCGCCCTTGCAGCAGTCGCTGGAGTCGCAACATCCGCAGTTGTTGTCAGGAGTGCACTTGCAGTCTTTGCACGTGCACTTTCCGCCCTTGCAGCAGTCGCCGGAGTTGCAGCATTTGCCATTACAGCAGCATCCGCAGTTTTTGTCAGGAGTGCACTTGCAGTCTTTGCACGTGCACTTTCCGTCCTTGCAGCAGTCGCCGGCGTCGCAGCATTTGCCGTTGCAGCAGCATCCGCAGTTGTTGGCAGGAGTGCACTTGCAGTCTTTGCACGTGCACTTTCCGCCCGTGCAGCAGTCGCCGGCATTGCAGCATTTGCCATTGCAGCAGCATCCGCAGTTGTTGGCAGGAGTGCACTTGCAGTCTTTGCACGTGCACTTTCCGCCCTCGCAGCAGTCGCCGGCATTGCAGCATTTGCCATTGCAGCAGCATCCGCAGTTGTTGGCAGGAGTGCACTTGCAGTCCTTGCACGTGCACTTTCCGCCCTTGCAGCAGTCGCCGGAGTCGCAGCATTTGCCGTTGCAGCAGCATCCGCAGTTGTTGTCAGGAGTGCACTTGCAGTCTTTGCACGTGCACTTTCCGCCCTTGCAGCAGTCGCCGGCGTCGCAGCATTTGCCGTTGCAGCAGCATCCGCAGTTGTTGGCAGGAGTGCACTTGCAGTCCTTGCACGTGCACTTTCCGCCCTTGCAGCAGTCGCCGGAGTCGCAGCATCCGCAGTTGTTGTCAGGAGTGCACTTGCAGTCCTTGCACGTGCACTTTCCGCCCTTGCAGCAGCCGCCGGCGTCGCAGCATTTGCCGTTGCAGCAGCATCCGCAGTTTTTGTCAGGAGTGCACTTACAGTCTTTGCACGTGCACTTTCCGCCCTTGCAGCAGTCGCCGGAGTCGCAGCATTTGCCGTTGCAGCAGCATCCGCAGTTGGTGGCAGGAGTGCACTCGCAGTCTTTGCACGTGCACTTTCCGCCCTTGCAACAGTCGCCGGCGTCGCAGCATTTGCCGTTGCAGCAGCATCCGCAGTTGTTGTCAGGAGTGCACTTGCAGTCTTTACACGTGCACTTTCCGCCCTTGCAGCAGTCGTTGGAGTCGCAGCACTTGCCCTGGGAGCAGCAGTTGCAGGCACCAGCACAGCAGCCCTTGCCGCCTGAAAGAAAGGACCTCTTTCAGAATGGAACGATTGTGGATTTGCTGTCTTTGCTGTTGATCAAACTGGGAATTGGACTCGAATTCCATAGCACATACCTTAGCTCAAAACAAGATTTCAGTTGTGAAGAAGGTGCCTCTGCTTTGGGTGATATGCCTAAATTTTGCCCTGAATAGCGTCGATGGAAAGACATTGTTTTTGACAAGGCACAAGACGAAGACAAGCATGAAAAATCATGAGCTATTTTCTAGCTCGGAGCTGGTCAGAGCAGAGCTAGACGGTAAATCAAAACCAAGTACGGCTGTCGCGATATTAGGCGGTAGGTTTTGCACTTTTACATTTCCGGTTATATCTCAGAAACTAATCGATCTACGATGAAACCATTTTACAGGATCATGGCTGGCTTGTGAACCAACAAGTCGATGGGGTTGGGAACTCGATTTTTTAAGAATGCATGAAAATGATCAAACTATTTTCACAGAATTTATGGTGCATACCATTGCCTCATAAAATCAATAAGCTGAGAGAAATGGGGGAAGAAAGATAGGAAACTTGTTTTGAAAAGTTCTTGAAAAAAGATGATCTTGATGCTGTTACGTCACATGTCACCTTCTGCGGTTGACAAATAATGGCGCATCTGGCGCACCACAGATTACATGTTATATCAATGGGTGAAAGTTGTTGTTTGCTTCACTCTGCCATTCGCGCTGTTTTTAACTTTAAATTATGCTAAAACATTTACGGATGAAATGTTCAGTGTCAAAAATTGATGTGTCGGCCGTGTACTATATTCCCACTTAACATGAGCGCGTGATAAACATTTTATGTACCTCGAATTTTCAAATGATAAAGATGATGAATCGGAGGATGCTGAAAAGCAAAAGCTCATTCCAATATTTGGACTACTTTACGATTAAAATGTTTACATTCCTGTCATCTTATTGATCATTTATTTGTTCTTTTTTATGAAAATAACTTAAGGCGTTGAGAACCGAGGTAATTTCTATCTACCGTGCCTTAACTTACCAGCAACAGCAATCTATCTACGCCCTACGGTGGCAAGGGAGACTGTGAAAGAAGCGTAAGATGGATTCTAAACAATTCTTTTGTGATATACTGAAGGGCAAAGTGCAGAGAAGAGCGTACAAGTCCTGTTTTGTGCCAGGCTGTTGCAGTAGCACTTATGAAACTCCGAAAACGATCTTCGTTCATGTCCCGAACAACATTAGGTACCCTGAGGAGATGATCGTCTGCAATAGCAGGAAGAGCTGATGCAAGTACTTTGAAATCCACTATCAAGTCGGTGCTATTGTTGTAATGATCACTGTGAGGTGAGATATTTTGTGCAAGGGCTGAGTGTAATGCCCAGGAAATGACCTCCATTCGCCACCTGACCGGTCAGGGTTATAAAATTTGAGTGGATGGCGGTCCGTTTGGGGTTCAGATGTCAATTGTATTTTGTTACTGTCAAACAATACATGTTATGCTGGCAGCGAATGTGTGTAACGTCGTTTTTCGAAACAGAAGTTAGAACTGTAACGGCAGAGTGCTTGCTGGTCTCATCGTAAGTATTGTAAGTGTTGTAAGCAAAAGCATTGTCAATATTGTAAGTATTGTGAGCATTGATGTATGGTAGATATCACCTCACATGATCTCGGCTCAGATAACCCTCTCCGGTGTCCTTGTCAGTAAATGGCACCTGGATCATTACAGATAAGATAATTTGTCATAATTCTTAAAGAATTGGGTGGTTTTGACTCGTTTACTCGAGGTGCAGGTCGCATTTCAATACTTTTCCATAGGCTTGCAATGTAAAGGTCACGACTCTGACCTAACCTCAGGTCACAGATAAAAAATTCTGAGATATACAAACGACACATACTGCAGGTACTGTTTTGAGAACTTGAGAGGAAATAACTTCGTGAAAAACTCAAGCTCTGACGTGTTTGCAAACTTTCTGAGGTGGGGTCAACAAACCCGCTCTGGTTACCTGACCTGACCTGACCCGGCATTTTTTTTTTTTGCTGAGATGTGCGCAATGAGCATTTAGGAAAAGTCACCAAATATGAGCTGAATGTCTCGCGGCGTTTGGCAATTGTACAAGAAAATCCTGAAAGGTCTCCCCGTCCGAAATAGGGTTAATGAGTATATGAAGAGTTGCAGATGCCAAACATACCCAGATCTAAGACTGCAGTTCCCAGCGCCGCAGCAACGTTTTTAAAACAAACATACATAGGACATACAAACATGTTTATTTGCATCTGTTTTGGATAATAGCAACTCATGGCGCCATCACCCGCGATAACTGTTAGGATTTGAGATATATTTCTATTTAGGCCATTAGTTTGGCTATAATATATATTTAATTGCCCAGTCCGAACACTATACCAGACATTATTCGGTCGCTTTCCCAAGGGTGTTTTAAAATAATGTCCGAACGGAGTGAGGACATTATTTTATCGAAAATAGCGTCCGAACGGAGTGAGGATGCTATTTTCGAAAATTGCACGAATGAAATGAGTGCAATTTTCGCATTGAATGTGCGAGCCTGCGAGCACATTCAATGAAAACACCCTTGAGGAAAAGCGACCGTATCATGGCTGGTATAGTATTCGGACCGGGCAATTAAATTTATTATAGTAATTTTTTGGCACCGAGCACCAACGCATCTCTGAGAAAGTTTGCTTTTGGGCTTCGGACTCAAGGAGGGGCACGGAAGATAGGGGGGGGGGGGGGCAGCAAATGGGTAAAGCTTTGGGCGTATAATGAAAATTATTGCCCATGGCCTTTAACACACGATGGGCGAATAATGAAATTAATCTACCACTTGGTCTCACTATGCCTATACAAAATGTATATTGCCTACCACGTCGTATTTTGCTCTAAATTCATCCCCGATTTCTCAGATATTTCCTGGACCTGGTAAACATGCGAGACGCGTCTGTTACTTTTATTAGACATTCATGCTACGAAGTAATTGCGAGTGAGGAGTAGGCGTTGCGGAGACATGCTTTGTCTTCATTAGTGGGAAATTGTCGTTGCGTTCTCTCCTCTTTCTTATATTTTGACATCTAATATCCATGAAGCTATGATAACAAGCGTCGATCTTACTACGAACACTGGCTCCTGGCAGTGCTGTTCTTCCCGTTTTGTAAGGGTCATCGTCAATGGCTTTTCACTGGCTCTTGAGAACTACGTGTGCCTCGAAACCTGCCTTCTAAATTTATGCGTAACCTGCTAATCCATCTCTTTGAAATAAATTTGAAATAAGTCATCACATTAAGGCTGTGTTCTTGCCAATATTCACTTGTCCTGTGTCCACATGTTTCGCAATTCACTTTATTCAAGCTACAAGCAAGCTTCAAGCTTCCATGACCGGATTTTTATTGAGGTTTCAGTCATCGAACGCATTGTTCAACCGAGGGAGCTTTTGAAGAGAAGAAAACCGCCGTATAATGAAATTAACCGCCGTGTTTTTATGCATGGGTTTTGATAGGCATTTCCGAGTTTTGGCATCGACTGAAATTAACCGTCTCTCGCGCTTCTGGCTTTCAGCAGGCCACCTTTATACAAAAATTTAACTGAACTTTTTTAACATGCGTCGGTGGCAAAAATGTACTATAATGTTTATTAATATTCAGTTGGGCGGAGTTTGGTAGTTTTTTATTTAACTTGTGGTATGTTGTGCTGATTGCGGGTTGTTCAAACCTTTCAAATGTAAGAACCTTATTGAACTCAACCCTACCCTACACTACCCTACATACGACTGGACGCTTTCCAAGCCCACAAGCATCACGACGCCGAGATGGAATGTAGCCGAGAAATCACCCTCGCCATCTGCTCTAGAGCTAATCGTGTGGGGCGGCGTGTGGGGCGCCGCTTAGCCATGGGGGTGCACTTCTAGTGGATGGGGGACGGGGTGCACCTGCACCCCTTTCATATGGAAAGTTACTTCCCTGATTACAGCTCCCCGTATTGCACCTAATCAGGGAACGGCCAGCAAACGAAGGAACTATTTCTGGATGACAGGCGAATAACCGCTCACGCAAGGAGCGGAGCTCCGCCCCGTCCAAAGTGGCCAACAAAGCAGAGACAGAGGCAGCGTCACATCTTCCATCAAAGAACTGGTTTCTGGCTTGGAAGATGAGCTCCATCTTTGCATCCGAGTCGGTGCTGTCAGGAATCAGCTGGTCTAATGGAGTGAGAGTAGTGAGACGACTAGCTATTGTATCAGAGCTGCCTGGTCTTCGTAGCATTTGCACCGGTTCTTCTCGATCGGACTCTGAATTCTGTCCCTCCTGCGTATTACTTGAGGCATTGCTATGTAGCTAAGTCTTTGGCAGAGTTTCATTATCCATGCTTTGCAAACAGTGCCATAACAACACAGTTAATTAATCACCAAGCTTCTTTGCAAGTTCCAATACAGTTGAATCGCACGCGATTTGAGTGCAAAAATCAAGAAAAGTGCCAACTTGTTCCCGTAAAATATTTTGAATATTGACCTAAAAAAAATGAGTAATTTCCAGATAAAGTAACAGCGAAATCAGTTTTCGCTTGCCAATAAAACTCACAGATATTGAAGCTCCATTATTAAAGGAACATTTTAGTATATGCCATTCTTGATAAAACTTCTTAGCCACGCAATACCACCGCAAAATAAAGAGACACTGAAAACACGACCACTCACTCCGATTTACCATAGGAAAATACTGGGAAAATACATAGAAAATGTATGTCTCAACTGCGCCAAATATACAGACAGTTATATACCTACATGTGACGTCATGATTAGCCCGACCAATCAGAAGCAAGTTGTTTTCAGCCACAAATAATTAATTTCTGAACTAACTAGGCATTTTTATAACAAAGTGATTTTAAATTAAATCATTAAAAATTCTGAGCTTTTTTATTTTACCAAAACATACAGAGCATGCAGATAGGTCCCAACCCTATTTTATTTTCGGATGTGCTGTTCTGTCTCAGTCAACTTGCTGACGTGATAAGTTTGCCGTGACATTCACACAAGGCAACATTGCAAACAATAGTTTGTTTTCTCGACGACTCCAACCAGATTAGGGGTTTCAGAATTTGGGTGATTGATAAGACGTCTTCAGCAAAATTTACGCCGGAACAGCGAATTAAACAGACGTTAGGGCTGATTATACGCTACGAATAGAGAAACAAGCCCTTTAACGCGTATCCCCCATATCGTCCTTCAAAATTCAAGCCTTGCGGTCCAGCTAGAACAGATTGAACGCTTGCCCGAGGTCTATACGATGTACCGTACAATTTGTACCGTTCAGTTTTCGCGTTTCATTTTCAGACTCTGATTTTCCGGGTTCAAGTGCACCCCGAGTACCGTCACCTGAACTTCGTCCAGTGCATAGACAAGGGCTCGTACGCCAACGACACTACGCGTCTGCTGTACCTCTTCTTCACGCTGTTCTTCATGTACCTGCTGCCGCTTCTGGTCATCACGTTCTGCTACACGGGCATCGTGGTGTCGCTGACGCGCCGCTCGGCTCCTCCCGACTCAGGTATGGAACTAGTGGGCCCCTTCCGACTCGGGTATAGAAATGGTGGGCCCCTTCCCACTCAGGTATAGAAATAGTGGGCCCCTCCCGACTCAGGTATACCTCGGGATACAGCCCGCCCTTCGGATTAATATGTATATGCTAGGAGGCAGTATTTTCTGTACAATGATGTTACCGACTTTGGCTGGTAAAACTTTGCATGCAAAGCTCAACAAATGACTTGTGACTCTATTCTCATATTGCGCATAGCTTTTAAGCACCCGCTTGGAATTAGGTATGCATCGTTTATATCGAATTTTGCATAAAGCTCGGATGGAGCCCCGCGGTCACCAAGCGACCGCCAATTATTTTTAGCCACCCCCGTATAACGGTAGCTAAGGGAACGTAAGCGCGCCGCTCGTAAAAGCTGATCTTCGCCTAATTGCTATAGGATCTCGACGCCATGCTTACGTGGCATTTGCAGAGTGTGCATCAGCCTAGCTGACAGGCGTATCCCGTGATCGGCTTTGGTCCCAGCGTACATACACACATATAGCATAGATGCTTAGTTTGTGTAAACCGATTAGGCTTACACAGCGTATCTTTGTCATCGTATCGAGGAACAGAGCTGAGCGGCTTACTGTTATTATATCAGTGAATATATTTGACTAGGTTATTGTCATCGCATCGAGGAATAACGAAGCCATGGTTGTATTATTATGTCTAGGACCGAGACCCCTGCTCCATAAACAAATTGAATCACCGTATCGAAGTTTTCAAAGCTCTATGCTTTCCTGAAAGCCTGGTACCGTAAGGTAAAAATGCAATCTCCTTCAGGCCTTTATCCTGCCTTAGAGAAAATCACACCAAAGTATGCGGTGCCAAGATCACCAACGCTGGCTTGGAGAGCTCTCCGGTAAACACTTTCACATCGTATTACCTCCACAGGGAGTAGCGCGATAGCATCAACATTGTCTAAACCATTTTCTGCCAGCGCACTAAAGTGCAGCGCTCTCACGAGTGGCCACTTGTTTCGGCAGACACGCTGTTCCGGGCCAACGACTCGGGATTTTTCGTGCGGGCACGTCAGCGCACCCTGCAGATGACGTTTGTGATCGTGCTGACGTTTGTCATCTGCTGGACGCCCTACAACGTCATCTCAGTCTGGTGAGGAGCTGGGGGGCTGGTGATGTATGTCACTTCCTGGCGGCGGGGGAAGGGGGATGGAGGACAGAGGGTGAGAGGGATCTCGGCTGGGGGCGGGGGCGGGGGAGGGGAGAAGGCTAGGAACCTGAGGGCACAGTAAAGATCTGGGTGACGCAGTGGGATAGGGGGATGGGTGGGTGTGGGGACAGTTGAGAATGGAAGGCGGCACTTATTATCGGTTACTGTTGTTTGAAAGACAAGCACATGTGTAGTTGCAGGGTTGTGCTCGACTCAAAAAAAATTGCCGACTCGACTCATCATTCAACTTCAGAATGCCCTGACTCAACTCTGACTCAAACAAGGAGCTGATTTTTCCCTTGACTTGACTCATGACTCAAGCGGCTCAATTAAAATATGAGTTGACTCAAACTTGACTCAAATTTTTTGTTGAGTCAAGTGTGTTGACTCAAAATTGACTCAGATAAAAAAGTTGTTGAGCGGGGGGGGGGCGGTGAAAAAATCCGGCAGCAGGCCCAGGCCTAAGTTGTTGAGCGGGGGAGAATGAAAAACTTATACTACATATTGTTTCTAGAAAGTTTAGTCAGCTGACTCATGTTCCTAAATGTTTTTGACTCAACTCAATGTCAAAAGTTATTTTACTGACTCAACTGACTCAACTCAACACCTTAATATTTTTGTCCGACTCAACTCTGACTCAACTCAACAGCTCAACATTTTATCCGACTCGACTCAAATCTGACTCATTTGAGTCAGAGTTGAGTCAAATTTCTGACTCGACTCATGAGTCAAGCACAACCCTGTGTAGTTGAGCAATGAGCATGTCAGAAGGTCAGTGTCTGTCATTAGCTTCAATCTGTTAATACTTTTCACAGTCGCATGCTGCCTTTAAAAGCCATGTTTTGCTCCACCTTTGAGAGTAAGTCTTCAGGGTATCAAGCCGTTTCTTTTCCGATCTTGGCGCAGACCCAGTTCGTTGGCAATATTTGGCACGACTGCGGGAGCAAGTGGGTCTCGGTGGCATAAAATGGCCCGCCCACTAACCCGCGCCAAATATGCTTCTCATTTCTTCCAGGCAGGACGAGGACAATTTTCTCCGAACATAAATAACACACAGAGACCCACGTGCCAGGGTACTTTGCAAAATAGATATCTGTAGTACTGAACATACTGAACCAATCAAGAAGTCGCCTGACGGGCTGCTCTGTTCCTGTGCGTTATGAAAATTTGGGAAATAAGGCATTGTGAAATATGGCATAATCATACTTGCAGCTCTTATCATTATGACACAACGCTCATCCCAATTCCCGCTAAATTAAGCAGTTATGTTAGCGAATGGTATTGGACTCGGTGTCCATAGCATTATATTCGTGGCAATTCCTGCATGATTTCCAACACAAACCAATTTGTCTGCATTTTCTTCTGGCGTTTTTCACCATGCTTTTGATTGCGAAATGTGTGCCTACATTGTACCTACAATCATTGCCGATAGTGATCTCAACTAGCATTCATTCGATCTGTCAATATATTCAAGTTTTAGATTCCTTTAATTGTTTAGTTAAAGATACCGCCTATTGCGAACATGATCATTTCCTTTTGCTGTTTTCACTGTCTATTCGGTTTTCAGCATCCTGTTTGAAGTTTGAACTATAATATGTAGCCTGTTTTCTTTGCATTGTTTTTAATGCAGGTACAAACCTTTGTTTAAATCTGTTCGAGCTTCTTTTGTTTGAGCTTGTTTTTGCCTTGTCAGTGTGTGGTGACTTTCTGCTCCTTATGTCAGTCTGAATTCACAACTTGTTTACTTGTCAGAATACATTTATGTAAAAGACAAGTACAAGAGGCTCTTGAAATTAGCACAACACAAAACACAGCATAGACCTCTCACCTGTGGAATGTAGTTGATGGAATGCAATACATGGGAATGCAATAGATAAACAATGAAATATTTAGGAGATTAAAAAAATCTACTCTATCAACAGTGGACAATGGACAGAATCATCGGTTCAGAACACGAGAAGCAATCAGGCAAATCTTGAAAGTTGAATAAATATAATTGAATAAGAACGTAGCATGTCCCTCGGACAGCCAGCTGTCAGAAGGACCATTACACCAGCTGAGCAAGTATGTGATAACGTGACACAGGCTGCGCTTCCAGAACGAATGCAGCTCATTCATTAAGACATAAGAAGCTAGGTGTCAGGCGAATGAGCTCCGCCGTTGCACGGCAGGGCTGGAGTGGAAACCGGCGCGCTGGCTGACAAGGAGCGGTGGCGGCCCGGCTGTCGGCTGGCGCCGCCGATTGCAGGCGCGACCGACAGGGCTCCCTCCGCTGCCATGTCGCGCCGAGTGGCCCGCAGCTCGCTCTCCTGGTCGGTCGCTCCCTGGAGACGGCTCTGAGAAGGCCGCGCTCCGCTCCCGGAGCTGGGAGACAGACACTGCAGCACTCGGACTGGCGCGGCGGCGGAGAGCGGCCTTTACCGCGATCAACAGCGCTCTGAAAGCGCCGTCACTTACACTCCGGCCGGTGGCGGCGATGTGGTGGAGAGGAGTGGGCTGCTGCTCTCCTGAATGGTGCGCTCTTTTTGCAGTTCGCTCAGTCCTCCCGAGTCGGGTTTCCTGCCCCAGTCATATCAGATGGTGTGCTGCGTTATTCCGTCCAACCAACATTTATCATCTACAATGCAGTGGATGCATAAACATGCCACTGGTGGTAAAATGTAAGGGTGGCACGTCATTCAACTTATTTCTGACGTCAAGACACGCTAGGCGCAAATGCGCGTAAAAGCATTTTGAATTACCTGACAGTCGACGGATAACAATAAGTAGATATGTTACAGGGAGTATGCGATTTCAGTTAGTTTGCAACGACCCTAGGGTGGTTGTAACCTCCCTGAACGATCAGTTTGTTTGCAACGACCCTAGGGACGTTACAAAATAACTGCTCGTTCCGGGACGTTGTAACGAAACTAGGGTCGTTGCAACCTCCCTAGTTAGTATGCAACGAACCTAGGGTTGTTACAAAATAACTAGGGAGTTTAAGAATTCATCAAGTCTCGTTTCACAGGAGGGCCGTCAACAATCTTGTCCAATGAAAATCGAAATGAATGTCCAAAAATAAAAGAAAAGGAGAACCAAATTTGAACATTCAGCTCAGAAGTAAATATATGTGGTGCCCGGGACAAAGCACGTAACTGCTGTGATAATTTTGGCTGCATTATATCGTCAGCATATGCTTAACATGTAGAAAATATAGTTACTGGGGTACATACGTGTGATGGATATCCGTCGCTATCCGTGTGCGGGTTATCCCTCACACTTTTAGGGGTGCGGGTCGGATAAAACCCATCGTTTTTTTCGCTATTATCTCGCGCTAAAAGCGGCCGATCGTGACGAAACTTTGAGTGTCTTCGAACTTATCTACGTTACTGGTTACACATTCCCTATACAGTTCATGATCCTAAAACCAATGACCTTTGATCTGATTTCTGAGACCATGGCAGACCGAAATGATTTGCCGTTTATGCTAGCGCACATAAAATTGCGTTTCCAGACTTCTATTGTGATTACATATAAACGTGCCAACATGTGAACCATGATGGTTGTCCCATGCATCATGATGGGTTTCAAGTTGACTTGTCAGTTGTCGGCCTGCGGCCAGGTGAAGGTCATTGACGTTTGGTGACTTCGGGTAACTGTTTCAAATTTTACAATTTTAAGGAATTTTTTAGCTTATTTCAAATCCAGCATTCGTTGATACATTTGAGAAGTACGTATAGTTGTGGTGCCAATGCAACTTGCTACGAAGCTGTCGCTGGTGGTTTAGGTACACCTGCTATAAACAGGTGGTGCGGGTGGGACGCCTACTGTACTACTTGACCCAAACTTACCCAACCCAGCCTAGCTTAATCCTCGCCCCCCCCCCCTAGTTTTTTTCCCGATAGCTCCGAACACTGCAACAGAGAGCTGAAACTAGGCATACCTGACCTTTGATTCAAGCCGGATCTTGTTACACCAACCAGATTTTCAGGTCAGGTCAGGTTACTGACCGAGGTCATAAGTGGACGGTCCTCAGATGCCGCAACTTCGCAACGCCCTTAGTCCCAGGGGAGCTTTTACAGGGGGATGAAACTTACAGTACGAGCATCTTCTAGAAGTCTCACAACTTGTACCTCTAGGATTTTTCCTGAAGATCACATGAGGTCAGGTCGGTCACGTGACCTCACCACTAAAGTCAATTGAGAAAAATGAAAACTGCTATTCTGGCGCCGGGAACGGTCTCAAACTATCTCAAGCACACGGATCGCGATTTCATGCACTCCTTGCAAGGTAAGATGCTTCAATTTTGCATTGTTGACGTTGCATGACGTCATTTATGACGTCACTAGGGTCATACGAGCTTTTCATCAATAACTCCCGCCCAAACTGAGCTAGCGAGTCGGTCAAGCCACCAATGGACTGAGGAAGACCTGCCGAATCGAATAATATGCAACATGACCTCCTTTGACCTGCTATTTTTGACAACGATGAAGCCGATTTCACTCCTCAGCGAGGAAATCACGATTTTGGGAAGATAAGCACTGATTTTCGAAAAGAAGTGCTGCCACCTGGTGCAAGAAGAAGAAGCCAGCTTTAATATGCCCGTTGTTTGTGTGGTAGTTTGATTTGTGGCCTGAAGTTGGAACTTAAAATTGAAGCATCCGAAGATGATCGATATTGATCGAAAACATGATGTTGATGAAAAAAATATGTTAAGTTGAGAGAGGAGGTCATTTTATCCAGATGCGGTGGTTAAATTCATGCAATTAATTATTTTTCCTAATTGACGGCCGCGCATCATCCGTCATTACATGGCAATCGTCATAAACAAAAATAATTTCAAGAAGTAAACCACCGCATCTGGATGAAATCGCCTCCTTTTTCAACTTAACATAATCTTTTTTTCATCAAAATTATTTTTTCGATCAATATTGATCATTTTCGGATGCTGCAAATTGAAGTTC